GCCACCTCTGTGTATGGGGGAAGCAGGCAGGACAGCAGGCTGCACCGGGAGCTGCGCTGTGCGGCCGTGCTGCCCCGTGCTGCTCCCCTGCAGTGCAGTAGCAGACGGGTGGTTGTCCTGAGCTCGGTGTTGTGGGATGCCATACCTGGAGGAGCCCCTCCGCCCTTTCCAGGCTGCGAGCATCACTTTGCTGCTGGGAATAGAGAGCGAGCTCCAGAAGTAACACTGACAGACTTCAGAATTACGATACGGTGGAGCTCCGGCGTAATTCTTTGTTGAAGAAGTTAGAGGCCTAAAATGTTAAGGCTTATTGTTATTCTGAGTTGATAATCTCTGCCTTGCTTTAATAATTTTTCCTCATGCCTGGATAGCCTGCGAGTTGCACAATAATCACTCACACAGCTTTGTAATCAATGCCCAAAGTAATAGGATTCCGCTGGCCAACGGCAATTAATAAATTTGTGTCTTTTTTAAAACACTAGCAAGTCGGGCCTGAAATACGACTGACTGGCTTTCCTCATTTGCATATTTATTGCAGTGGAAAAATTCTTGCCGAATGATTGATGTTGAGCCTGCCTCTTGAATTCCAAACAGCACATTATTATGAAATGAAAAATGCCGGCCATACAGTTGATTAAAGTTGAAGACAGTGGAATCGGTGTTTTTTAAGATTGTGGGAGAATTAAAGGCATATTTTAATAGATGTTGACAAGAAGTGAACTAACAAAAGCAAAGCAAAGGATTTGCTTGAAAAGATTTAATCAAACGTGTTTCTTGGGGGATTAATTGCTGGGGATGACTAGTGCAAGTGGCTGGCTGGTGGATTTGAATGAGAAGTATTGTTCTGGGGCCGTCGTATTGAGTGCCATTTTGACCTGTAGTTTAACTCCTGTCCCACCGCCGTTTGAAAGCAGAGAAAATTTCCCCTCTTCATCTGAATGTTGGGATAAATACGTGCACCTGATAACAATGCTTTTCATTATGCACAGCTGCTATAATAGAACCCGTTGGAGCCCTCATTCCTGTTGGCACGGTGTGACCGGTGCAGCTCGCGCTGTGCGGTGGGGATGTGGTGGCTTCCCATGGTGGGACGGAGCCCCCGTGTTTGGCAGCTCAGCCCTGGGAGGTCTGTGATGGTGTTACCAGTTTGCTGGGCAATGTGAGCAGTGTCTGTTTTGCCCATGAGCTTCCAAGTGCTGTCAGTTCCCAGCTGCCTCTCTCAGTGCTTCTCCTTCTGCGCGTAATGCATTGAAATCCTGGAATTTTGCCCCAGTTTTTAGGATTCCATCTCTGACCGCCATAACCACACATCTGTGGCTCTTAGCCCTGTGCTGGATGGAGGCAGCCATGCAGGGAGGAGCCTGCCTCGTGGAGCTGCTCCAGGAGCCTCGCTGGTTGGATCTCTGTGAATACCTCTGAAAACGTGGCCTCGAGGCACCCGCTTTTTCCATTGACTTGAAGTGTCTCTGCGTGCAGCCACTCCCTGCTGCTCCACGCCAGCTGCTGCTCTCTGCAGCTGCTTGGGAAGATGAAATGAGACCCCATTTTTAGAGGTCATGACAAAGAGCATGGATGTTTATCTGCACGTGAAACTGCCTTGCTGTAGAAGCACTGAAATGACAGTGATGAGAGCCGCCAGGGTGAGCAGGGGGATGTGCTGGTGGGTTGGTACCTGCAGCCAGGAGCTGGGGATGTGGCAGCAGAGTTGGTTTGTCTGTAGCCACTAGCATTGACAAAACTGATTTCTGTGGTTTGTGAGCAGTAGGACAGATTCCATCTCTGGTGGGGTTCCTGACACTTTGATACATGGCAGTGCTATCCCTGAATGGAGCTAAATACTCCAGGGCTACTTTCTGAATGGGTGAAGGGATGTATAAAATGAGAACGTATGAGAGAGTATTAACAGAAAGGCACACTTTGATTTACTGGTCCTGGCTCACAGCTTCCTTGGTGGATTGATGTGCTGTCTGCTGAATCTGGAACAACTCTTTCACTCCTGTACACAAAATGAAGGGGCTCCCATAGACTCTTAAAAGTGACTCTTGCAAGTTAACATCTTACCCAGGCACTCCGAGTCCCATTGAAGCTGGAAGTTGCATTCAAGCTACGTTTGCTGTATATTTGCTGCAGATGGATCCTGCTCAGCATCAGTTCTCCTTTCCCATGCGATAGTATTAGGAAAGCTCTGATGGAACGGGGGGGTTGCCTTTGTACTAGGGTTAGTTGGCCACTCCATGCATGGAGTATGGGTTGTTTGGGGAGCCGAGTGGCTCATATTCCACAAAGGGATCTAGATGCTTTTGTGCTGGGGCACCTGTCTTCAGAGAACACGAGTTGGGCATACAGAAGTAACTTCTGCAAAGGGAGAGAGTTTTGTGGTTGTTTTCATTGCTGGTTTATGGCCCAGCGTGAGGGCAGGTGTTAAGCTGTACAGAGGTATTAGCTTTGTTCTGTGCATGGAGCAGGAGGTAGAAGCCATGGTTATCATGTGTGAGGACCGCTGGTTGGTTTTCTTAATGTATTGGTGTGCCTGAAAGCTCCGTGTTTGTAGCTTTTCTGATTGTCTGTTTCAGATGATGAGCAGCATTAAAAATGTAGGTATGTGCTGGGAGGGTTGGAGAGCAGGAGGGTTAGTGCCTGGCTTTCCTTCAGAACAGCCCAGCGTGCATCTGTGGAATGGTTTTGCTTTACACAGCCTTAGTTCACGAGTGACTCAAGTCTTCTCCCCAGTGCAGGCAGTGTAAAAGCAGATGAGGGCGTTGGAGGGAAGGGAAGGCGAATGGGAAGGAAACAGTCCCTCCAGGAGCTGTGTGTGAAATGAATAGGGCTGTGTTGGGTGAGGAGAAGGCAGGGGAAGGTGGCACTCAGCTTCTGAAGTTGAGTTTACAGCGCACTTAAGCACCCAACGTTAACAGTGAGAATACCATCCAGTAATGCTATTAAATACACACGAATTGAAAGCAGGAAATTACTCAGCTGTAAGAGGCTCACGACGAAGCTGCTGTCTGCAATAATTAGCCCTCCCACCTGGTTAGATGCACGGTCATTGTCTTCCCTGCCCTCTCCATCCCCTTCACTCCAAATAAAATTGCTTCCCATCCCCACTTCTGTTGGGGTCTGTATCTCATAGCCTGGGGGAGCTTGAGCCTGTCTTTATTCCTTGCCTGCTTGCCATGGCCCTGATATACCCCAGAAGAGCTGGAGTGCTACTCCAGTTGTAATTGACAGGATCAAAGCTGCCTGGGGTGCATTAGCACTGTTGCTGGAGGATAGACAGCGGGTAGAAAATAAACAGTTTCGGAAGCTCTGGGGACATTTAGCTGTGTTGCAGGCAGTGGGAAGGATTTTGCTGTTGTGAGCTGTGCACTCAGGGTAGGGTGGGGGCAATTTCCTTTGGAAATGATGCTTTAGCTGCAGACACGTACAACCAATGCATTTTTAAGGGCTTTTGTCTGTTTGTCTCTTAGAATTGTTTTGATGCGAGCGCACAACTGTTTTACAAGTACAGCAAACCTAATCCGTTAATAGGTTTATATAGAAGAGCTGTCAGAATGTATCTGTAACGAACCCTGGGCTGGGGGAGTCCGACTGCTGATCTGCAACAGAAATCTGAAATCTGACAGCGTCTCCTCTCCAACATTGCTGTTAGTGAGGTCAGGCCATGATCTGTCTGAAGTTGGTGACAACCAGACGATATCACAGCGGTCACGTATTGAGAACTCTGCGTGTCAGGACTGAGTTCTTCTCGTGCTGCCTGTGTCCGGCTGATGAAGATCTGCTGTTCACTCTACCCACGTCCTCCATTAACAAAAGAGGAATCAGGTGGTGAGAATAAATATAAAGGAATCTGTACAGCTCCCTTTAGGTTTTAGATAGAGGCGTGCTCTGTGGTATTGCCTTGAAGAGCTGAGCCTGTGGTTGATGTACAGCAAGGTGCAGAAGGAGTGTTTGTGTACACCCAAACACTTGTTTAGATCAGGGTGTTCTGCAGGGGGCTTGCTGCATGCCATAGAAGAGCTATTTTTAAAGAACAGATGTGGCAGCAGCGTGCAGTTAACCCTTCCCTACAGCCAGCTCCACTGTATGCCCTTGGAGAACATTAGGTCATTGGAACAGAGATCATTTTCTCTGCATTCACATCTGCATCTGTTTTATAGATACAGAAAAATTACCAGCTCTGAGAGCCTTTGGATAGGGAACATCAGATCAACCTTCAGGATTTGTGGCCAGCAGTTCTGCTTTCCTGATCAGAGTCCTCTCATTAAACTTGCCAGGTCATTGTTTAAGTTTTCCCCGTAGATCACATCTTGCTACATTTAATTTTACTTACAATCTAATTTCTGTCACCTCCTGCGTGGTGAGCACAGCAGCAGAGAAACCAGCAATAGTCACAGCCCCGCAGGAGTTCGCTTTTTCTTCGTGCCCTCCCTCCTCCTGCTCCCTATAGCACGCACATTATGTACAAGAGAGAAGTCAGAGGTCACATGGAGAGGCGATGTGTTTATATACATTTTCCTTTGTGTTGCTTCATAATATTTGGCTGAAACCAACCTCTGTCACAAAACTTAATGCAAAGAGAAGTTAGTTAGTCAGCAGAGAAGGCTGTTGTCAGATTGTGTGTCATGGAATGCTTCTTCACATGTTCTGTGTTTCTTCAATATCTTAGTCCTTCAGGCTGTGCGGACTGAATGTTTGTCAGTGAAACATTAGATCAGTGTACTCCCAATGTGCAGCCAGGCGAAGGTTTGGAAAGCAGCCCTCCCTCCCATCCTCCCTTTTTGGGAAAAAATTGTTCTTTATCAATGTGATGTTGTTCAAGATTAACAGTTATAAATCAAGGTGAAGTTAAATCCACAACTCCGGCTGGTTGGAGAGAAACATTTGATTGGACATGAGGCAGCAGTTCAGATTTGAGAAGAGAAACTAGGCTCTGCAAAGCAAAGTTTTTATCAAAAGCAGCAATCAGTAGAAAGTTGTTGTTTGTGTCTCTTGTTCTGCAGGTTGTAAAGCCATAGACACATTGCTGGGAGTACTAGTGGACATTCAGGATGAGTTGCTTTATCAATGCCCGGGCACAAGGCACCTGGTAGATGGAAAACAATCAAAACCTGAGAGGTAAATACAAAAGAAGATCTTTCTGAATCCTTTGCTCTCCGATTAAATGAGAAAATGCACAGCTTTTCTGACCACCCTCGTTCTCTGCTTTTTCCTCCATTGCTGTTGGATTTGGGTGACAGCCATGCTGGGTGAATGGCGTTCCTTCCACCAGTGTGGGAAGTCTGTTTTGTAATCTTTCTGAAAGCAGAGGAGAGACTAAACTGCAGCTCCTTCCCCATCGGTATCGCCGTGGAATGGAACAAGTCTGACTTGTAGCAAAGGGGCTGCTGAGAATTCACACGTGTTGCCTTAGACCGGTGCAGGGTGTTTAGTCTGTATCTGTTCATTTTTTAGTGATGATGAAATTCCCAGCAGCAGCGACGAAGAGCCAGCAGGTGAAGCTCAGGAGAAGAGGAAGCGCCCTCCCAAACGAAAGCTGAAGGCGGAGGACTTCCCAGAGTTCATAGCCAAGAGGTACAACGACTACAGGACGTACCGGAACAGCATCCTGCAGAAATGGCATGAGAAGACAAAGCTGGCATCTGGCAAGATGGGCAAGGTGAGTCTCTGTGCGTGCCGACGTGCGGTTGGTAGAGATCTGTGGAACAGCACTTGGTTTGGAAGTCTCCTGTCATGGATATTCCAAGCTGAACCAAGTTCTGCTTGATCAGCAAGTAGTTCATGTTTTACAACACGGTTAGGAGTTACTATGCCCCTCCTCCTTTACAGCATGTATACTTTAATAGTATGGGTAATCGTGTCCTCATAGGATCCAGGTTCTCATAGCATCTGTGAGTTTAATATTAATCATTGAGAAGTTCATCTGAACCAGAGCAACAAAGGCATTTTATTATTAAGCCATGCCTCAGGCTACCTCAGGTTGGGAATGGAAGGAGAGAGAAATAAAAAAAAAAAACAAACAACAACAACAGCAAAAATCTGTGCAACAAAACCTGAGCCCCCTCCTCTTGGAATGCTGTCTGCTTATCCGCTGACATGGAAAGATAGAGGAACATTGCTGCCTTGAGGAAAAGCTTTCTGCATTATCTGACACTAGTTAATGTTGTTGCAGGGTTTCGGCGCCTTTGAGCGTTCAATCTTGACTCAGATTGATCATATTTTGATGGACAAAGAGAGATTGCTACGGCGGACACAGACCAAGCGATCAGTGTACAGAGTGCTTGGGAAGAAGGAGCAGGATTCCCATCCAGCCCCTGAATATTTGCCTGAAAATTCGGTAAGGGTGCTTTGTCTGTATGGCTTGTGCTGTAGAACCAGTGAAGCTCTCTGCAAAACAATTAGCCTTTAACAGGAAATATTCTTGTTTGTGAGACTGATGAAGAACCTGAGCGTTGATTCGTGTAATGCAGTGACTAGCAACAGTATGTAGACGTTTCAATTCCAGTTTTATGGTGTGTGTGTTACCTCTTGTGCCAGTTCTCAACAGCATAAAACGACGTTTGGTCTCTGACTGCGCCCCTCCTGTAGGAGCTGGTGGTCACTAAATCTGCCTGAGGCTACAAAGCTTTGTTTTGACTCTGGAGTTTAGAATCTTTAACCCAGAAAGTCACAGAAAATCATACTGCATGTCACCTACGGAGTGTATTGGTAGTATGTTGGTTATTAATTTAGTATTTAAGAATGAATAAATACTCAATTCTGATAGATCATGTGGAATTACTGCGCTTGCAAGATGTATTTTTGCCGTTACATTACAAATATCTGTAGTATTTTGCCAGTCAGACTTTGTGTAGTCCTATTTATTTCCTAGCAAAGCTATCATAAATCTGCTTTGGCATTGGCAGCATTTCTGCCTTGCCTTAAAATGTATTCCTAGTCCTTAAAAGCTTTCTATGATGGGAGCTGTTCTCCATTCCTTCCTATTTTCAAGTGTTTACAAGCTGCTACATGTGAAGTTATCAGAGCTGGGGATGAAAGCATGCGAATATGAACGTTCAGTATTTCCTTTGTGCTTCTAGGAAGTCCTCCCTGAGACAGATTCCAACAGGCACCTGAAGGACATAGATGAGGAAATATTTGATGATGATGACTTTTATCACCAAGTAAGTGTCTGTCAATGTGTTGGCATTATGACTGCACTTAGTTTTGAATATTCACCAAGCTAATGCAGCTGACTCTGTGGTCTGAGTCTGTCTGATCAGTGAATGTGAGTCAGCTCTTAGATCTGCAGTCTCTGTAGATTGTTCAGGAAATTTTCACACTCAGCTTTCCATATAGGGCTCAAACTTGTGCTGTGAGTATGAACTTACTGCTGTTCCTGGTGCTGCTGTGTTGGAGAATCAGGGTTCCAGCATTAGATCTCCATCCGTGATTCTTACAGATGAACATTGCTACACAATAGAGAAAAATTACTGAATTATCCAAGGTTGACTTGTTGTTGTTGGTAGAGTACAGTAATGAAAAATGATTGTAGTAGATCCTTAAAAGCACCAAAGTTATTTCATCTCAACTGAGCTCATCTGCTTAGAATGAAAAAACGGCAGAGCTTCTGTGCAGCACTTTCCTTGGAGTTAGGCCAGGTTGGATTTGGGCCAGCTATTCTTTTTATTTGCACGATTCTTGGGAACAAGGTATCTGTGCTAAGCGCAGGAGGCTGAAGCTTAGGAAAACCTTGTGCTTGTAATGTATTTAATAAATGGCAGTGCCAGCTTCATAAAGTACTGAAATTGCCATGTGTTGAGGAGTACGTCTTATCTCAATGCATGAAAAACTGCTTTTGCTCTGATGATGCACGGAGTGTTTTCATGTCAGGACTAAACAAATATAATTATATTCTTAGAAAGGCAGACATTTCCAATCTGAATTAAAATAGGTAGCGAAGTGTGTGGGCAGTGAAAGAGAGCTGTCACCATGTAGCTGTGCTGGGTTGACTGATGTAGCCAGAAGAATTCAAATACTTCCAAAATTTGGGATTTCACGTGCAGAGCCAGGACTAGAGGTGAGTAAAACAACATGGTGACACAGGTCTGGGGATGGGAGAGCACCTCCCAGCGTGGTGTTGGCAGCAGTGGCTGAGGAGACCAAGTGTGTTATGCAGTGAGATGACATCGTCCTGGGATTTGGGGTCCAAGTGAACTGTTAGGACAAGAACAAATACAGTAAGTGCAGTAAAATAGAGGAGTGGTCAAGGAGAATGTCTGTGAGTGACAGCCTTCAGACCTGTGCAGGTAGGGTGCTTATTGACTATGGAATGTTGAAATTTTTGTGAGAAAACTAGCAGTGGTCTGTCTTCGTTTCTAATAACTTTAACTTCGATAAATCCTAACTTCAGAATTATGACTAGTTACAGCTTAGCTTTTCCCCTCACTGGTTAATTGGGGTGCTGGGGTTAATCTAAATTAAAACTTAAACTAATAGAGGTCATTGAGGGAGGAGAATCACCTGAGTAAAACAAATGGGTCTGCCAGGCACAACTGTGTCTTGGCCATTTCCCAAGAGGGAAGTGGCAGCAAATTGGAGTTGTTTCAGCATTCAGGAGAGGTGAAGGATGGGTGACACCAGTTTAATGTTCGGCACCTCCGGAAGCGTTCCAGATTGCATTCCTTGCTGTACCAACTGCTGCCTCCTGCAGCACGCTGAATGGAAGCGGGACCCGCCGACAACATCTGGCTGCACAGCAAGGAATGGGTGCAACTTCTGACACCCCATGGACTCTAAATATGGCGCTTAGCCTGGCGGAGGCTTTAATCACTTACTACTCTTTGGCAGCGGGCTCCGACAGCTTATCCTAGCCTCGTACATCACGCACAGACATCTGCTGAGCCGCGAGGCAGCTACACATTCATTTTCCTTTCTTGTTGTTGTTTTTTTTTTTTCTCTTTTTTTTCCCATCCCTCCCTCCCTTCCACCCTTCTCCTCCCGTCCCCAATATGCTTCTTGGGAGAGATGATCTGTAAAGATTACTGCTTCATTGTGTGCGAGTAATTGTGGGGATGCCAGCCCCTTGACAGACACGGCGCAGCACCTGTTCCGCTGACCTGGTTAATTTCTTCTGTTGAGTGGGATTTGGCAGAGATTGGAGCTGAAGCCAATTCAGTGATAAGGCTAAAGAAAATGGCTGTATGTTTTCTGTCACCTCCCAATTAAATTGGTTTCATAAAGTGCTTTCCTTTATTTGTCAGGGTGGTAAGCTGAAGCTGAACATTGCATTCAGAAAGGGTAGAGTGCATTACAATAGAGTGCTGACAATACAGAGAATGTGTTTTCTTTCAAACGGGTCATAACTGTGCAGTGCTTTGTGTGCGTATGTGTGTGCTTGTCTGTGTGCACACGTATAAATATTGGGTAGAAAGGGCACTGCTTCTTCAGCAGTAATGGGCAGCAACGTGGTTGGAGCTGAGGCTGCTCAGGAACAGTGCCCTCCATGCATAATACTTATTGCACAGCATATGTGTGCATCTAAATGGGGGCTTTTGTCTTTGTTTGTAAATTTAGGTCCAGACCTTTTTTTGGTATTGCTTTCATTTTTATGAATGCCGTTTGGTAATAATTTATTTTGGTTGCTACTTATTGCAGAATGGTGAGATATATGAGAGGAAAAAATGTGGGTAAAGAAGGACGTGAGACACCAATTCCTGTATATTTCAGTGCAAAATTAAGCAATTAAAAATGAACGAGATCTGATCAATGCACACAAATTAATGGTAACAGAATGCCTAGCTGTACTATTTTATTATAGAATATAATCCCGAGCTGTGTAATGAATCTGTTTTTCCTTTGGATAACCATAATTTTCTTGTCCAGACCTTGGAGGCTGATGGAATTCACTATGTGGGGCTGGGGGACCTTACAGGGGTAAGGTTGGGGTTGAACTCTGTTCTGTTGTTGGTCCCTCTTTGCCTTCTCTCATCTCCTTCAGTTGGTGATAAGCAGTTACAGCCCTTGTTGTGGCAGCCCAGGCTGAGTGCTGATGTACGGCTGGGCTGAATGGTGCAAGAACTGTTTCCAAAAGATCCTCATTAGTGACAGCAGCTGAGAGGCCAGACTCTATCTCCTTTCCTCCTAAACTCTTGTTGGTACGTGGTTTTAAGGAGAAGAAAAAGGCTGGATGTTTTTAGAAGTCGTATTTACGTGGAATTCTCTATGGCCAATATTGCAGCATTAGGGCTTAACATTCCGTCCTGCTGCCTGAGAGCTGCTGCTCTGCTGTGCTACAGTGGAGACTTTATTTTTACCTTGAAATGCTTTGCTAAAGAGAGAGTGGAAATGGGTTTCTTTCCAGCAGGAATTAGGGTAGTGTTCAGATGCTAAGAGTTGCACCGATGGCAGCTCTTCCCAGAACAAATGTTCCTCATTGATGGCAGCAGGTACGTCTAAGGAGAGGCAGGAGTATATGTAATCCCTTTTTCTCTCTGTTCTCTTGCTCCCTCCTCCCCCTGATGTGGTTGTGTTGTACATCACTGTGTTTTCTGACAGCTTTCTTTGCTCCAGAAATGGTACAGAGCTGGGGATGGGAAGGGGCAGAGAGCTGCCCTTGGGCTGCGGTTTGCTGGGGTTTGTTGGGACGCTGCATGAGGTCTGCATGGCAGCTGAGGGACCTGTTTGTGCCTGGGCTTTGCTCCCAGCAGTGGGAAGAGCTTTGTTCTGTTTGTTGTTTGTGCTGCTGTTCCCTGGGGAAGGAGTTGATGTCATGGAAAACTGTGGAGGAGCTGTGACTCAATTCTTGTTCCTTGTAGAGTGGCATCTCATGTACCCACACGCAGGGTCAGAGCTGGCAGCAAAACGTGCTTCCTTGTTCCTAGCTTTGCATTTGGAATTCCTCCTCTAAACTGAGTGAGTGCAGGCGAGCTCCTGGCTCCCTTGCTAAGGTATTTGTAGCTCGCTTTGTTCCTCTTCTGGGTTGTGTGCACTGTACAACTTCTTAAGGCTCTTTACACCCTTGCATCCCAGCCAGGAGTGGCCCTGAAGCAGTTCCCAGTCACACGCCATTTTTCTCTCCCAGGTATTTGATAATGCCATAAACAAGTGATTACTAATCTAGTAACTATTGCAAGTGGATAATGGTGAAGAGTAGAGAGAAGACTGGCTTTCTGACAAGCTGGTTTTGTGTGAAGAAGAGACGTCTCGAACCGTCCTGCAGGTTCATGGCAATACAGTGCTATTATGCAGCGTGTGTCTTTCAAATGCCTGGGTTGATGGTTAATAACACGTTTTAAAGCTTGATTTGAAATGTTTCTTAAGGGGGTATGGGAAAACACGGGTACGCCATCCCTGTTTTGTCCAAAACTGAATGTCAGCAAAGTTTTTTTTTTTAAGGTGACCGTCCAGTGATTCAGCTTGTGCTTTCGGTGTGTATGTTGTAAACAGATGATGGGTAGTTAGGTATTGAAGTGTTTCATGGGGATTTAAAAGGAAAATTTGGGCTGTGGTATAAATTTTCTCTAGAGCTGCTGGAAATCCAAATGGAGTTGTGACCACGCAGTGCCAGCTTAAAGGGGAGGAGGAATGTCTTGTTTCCGTGTCCAAGCAGGGTGCACTATGAGGTGCATGCTTCATAGAAACCACCGCCTTCTTATTTATGCTGTTCTTAATAATTGTGAAGTGTATGAGAAGGAAACAGAAAAATAATGTGACTTACCACATCTGTCCAAAGAATAAAGGAGATAAAAGAAATAAATTAGAAAGCATTGGAATGGCATTGATAAAAGGCCACGTTGTCAACTTTCTGCTGGGGAGCAGAGTGATTTTGCATTTTCACCACCAAGGAGGGTAAGCAGTTGGTGTTCCTGTTCTTACTGCTTTACTTGGACTTCACACGTTGTCCTCAGCTTCTCTGCTCCTCACTGCCCAACCCAGCCAAGGGCAGCAAAGGAGCACATGGCTCTGGTGTGCTGTAGCAGAAAGCTCTGAGCCTTTCCTGCAGGCTTTAATCACATCAGAGAAAAAGTGCTTCTTGTGTTCCAGTTCTGTTTCTAAGGTTTGTAAACTAAACTGTGCCCAATGGTACACTACTTTTGCAAGATAGGAATGCAGAGTGGTCTGTGAGGGTGTAGAAAAGGCCCTTTTGTCACAAGGCTGCTTTGGGCTGTGTGTAGCTCTTTGTTCCAGCTGGCAAGTCCTCAGTCTGCACATCAGAAAGGTCAGCAAGTGTAGTACTAAGAACACTGATAGATAGTGCATGAAAATGAGACCTAACCTCTGCAGTGCAAATTGACCTCTGAAATGAGAAATGAATCTCTATTACCCTTGAACAACACCCTGATGGCATTTCTAAATCCCCCTAATTTTGTACAGTGTGCTTGCTTCTCTTTAATCAGCAGAGAAAGGAGTCCTTGTGAGGTGAATTCTTCGGAAAGCACACATCCTCGACTCCAGTGTGAGCTTTACCAAAGGCTTTGGTGCTGGTAGAGGCAGGCACATGGCTTCTCCTGGCTTGGAGCTGGCAGCTGAGCCACAGGCTGTGTTTGTTTGCATAGCAGAGAGAGTTTGGGTTTCTGAAGCTCAGGGAAGATGGGAAGGGGTGAAGGAGGGAAAGCAAAATAGGATATGTTTCAAATCAAAGCCTTTTGGTGCTGAAATTGCCTAACTCAAACTGTCTTCACACATCAGAGCTTAATTCTGATAGTGATTTACCTACATTTCCTAGTTAATAATTAGACATTGGGAGACACCATATATCACTCCTAATGGAATATATGGGGTCTAGTGATAGTTTTCTGTTTTGACTAATAAATTTTAACCCGAATCTCCAAGCTTAATGAAATATTACAGCTTCGGAAGTGTTTTAAGTCTTGTGCTGTGAAAACAGTGTTACGTTATTCAGTAAATGAGTTTATCATTCATTCCGTACCCCGAGCCCTGGTGGCTCTGGAGCATGGGCTGAGTGCAAGACTCTGAACTAGAAAGCGGAAAAACTAATCAAATCCTTAAAGACCAAAGGCAGCGAGGCAGGTCTAGACTGACTTTTTCAGCAGTAGCCTCTGGCTACATCCGCTTTTATTTTAGTAACCATTGTTAGCATGATTTATAACGTAAGCCTTAAGACGTGCACTATTTAGATATAGCAAGATGCTGCACAGCTTTTATTTCTCTTTCCTTGTTTCCCTCTTGTGCCCGCTCCGCTGTAATTCCCCCTCACCTTTGTCTCCCCTGCCTCACCCCAGCCTGGCTGCTGGGGCTCCTTCAGCACAGCGTTCAGCATCAGTCCTGAGGTCAGCAAGGCTCAGTGCCCCACGGAGCAGCCAATCTGCTGGACAGCAGGGGAGTGCAGAAGGGGCAGCTGCCTGCAGGGCTTGTCACCTGGCGGTGCACAGGGTGCTTATGGTGTAGCTGCAGGTCTGTGGGGTCAGTGGGCCGCCAGGAGGGTCAGGTCCTGCTGCAAAGCCTTGCTGCTCAGCTCGGAGGAGTTCTGCTGCCTTTTCTCTGCCTGCACAGCTCTGCACTTTTTCTGCACGTTGTGCCAAGGAAGCGAGATGAGAGGAGACAGTAAACACATCCTATTGCCAGCACAGGAAGAAACCACTGTAACATAGCTGCGCCGTTCCTTGCCACTGTTAAAACCCTCCCTCCCACCTTGCTTTTGACAGAATATTGACTAGAAACCAAGATCCCATTTCTTGCTTAGCCTTAAGGGCAGCTGTTTACAGAGTGGCAGTGTTACATAGGTTTACTGTGTCGTATGTCTGTGTAACACTGGATTTGGATCTTGTATTTAGCTGCCAGAAGTGACGGTGATGGAGTGGGAGAGATAAACTGATAGATTGTGTGCCAGAAAGATGTTGGGAATCAATCAGATAAACGGGGCAGAGAAATAGCTTGCTGTTTTCTAGTGATAATAAGCCAGAGACCTCAGTTCCAGGAATTTTTAAATGTAATTGCTGCAGTAATAATCTCTAAAAATAAGCAAATAGAAAGAAGTAGGGGCAGGGTTTTAATTGGACTGGAATTGCACTTTTTTTTTTTTTTTTTTTTTTTTGGTAATTTAGTGTCAATGGTATATAAATTAAAAAAAAAAAAAAAAAGTCATAAAATGATAACTGCCTACTTTGATGGCATTTTTTGTGGGGTGCATGCCTTGCACCTTCATTCCAGTGGTGCACTTATGTGCTCAGGAGATGCAGTGAGTTACGCAGTCCCCAGGCGCAGCTCTGGCATCAGCTGTGCTAGCAGGCAGCACCCGTAGCTCTGTGGCTGTTGCTCAGCTGGGTCTGACCGTGGTGCTCCAACCTTCCTCTTTCAGCAAAAATACAGGGGAGAAGGAAAGTGCCACTCATCCTGTCTTTAGTACGCTTGTTGGGTTGGCTGGGCCTCTCATTTCCAGGGCTGGTTCTGGTTTGGGTGCTGAAATGGGGGCATCTAGAAGAGATCTGTGCCCCTGTGTTTCCGAGGGTTTGTTTCTGTTCTCTGTGTCGCTGTGCAGGCTCATCCCGAGGCACAGCACGTGCCATCTACAGTGAGGGTGGTAAACACACAGCCCTGGTCAAGTATCCAAAAAGGCTATTCACAATGTTCTTTGCTCTCAGGAAGCGAAAAGGACAAAACCTAACCCTCAGGACATGAAAAGAAATGGAAAAACCTGCTTGAGCATTCCTGCTCTGGCTGTAAAAATTACATTGCTGTTCTGTTCCTCAGAGTGTGAGCGCTGAGCAGCGCGTGTGTTCTGTTTTGTGAAGCCGTGTGGGGCAGAGCTCTCACTGCACATCTTCCAGTGTTCCACCCCACGTCAATAGGAGTTGTGTACGGCAGCCTGTGAAAGCTGCCATGTTTTCACACTCCCAAAAGCCCAACAAACAGTAGTGATCCCTGCAATACAAACTCAGCTCTTCATTCTGCCCCATGGTGAGGGGCAGCCGTCTCCCTTGGGAACTTGGGGCAGCACATTCCTCAAGCTTTCTTGAGGAAAGTTTTCTTGAACCTGTTTGCATTCACTTGTCTTTGTTGTGCTTCTAACAAGGATTGCTGTCTTTCTTCCAGCTCCTTCGAGAACTGATAGAGCGTAAAACCACTTCATTGGACCCCAATGATCAAGTCGCCATGGGCAGGTGAGTAGGAAGCTGTCTGCAGCATCACCAGCTCCTTCCCAGCCCTGAAATGCAAAACTGCTTGTGAGCTTCCAGTCCTCCCTCCTGGGAGAGGAGCTATGGGAGTGTGTGTGTGGGGAGGGGGGAAAAATTCATTAGGTGAAATTTTGGAAGTGAAATAACTTTTATCCTTGTAAAATATTACCCAAATTTTAGTGCAGTGTGTCAAATGTATTTTGTGTACGTCTGAAATACTATGGAAAGCCATTCACTATAATTTAACACGATATAGACAAAATTACATTTAAGTGGTGATTACATTGTACATTTATCTGACTTTACAATAAAATAGATTACAGTAATTAAGATTATATTAAGATTGCAGTAATTGGATTTTGGTAGATTTTTTTCCCCGATGTTGAGTTTTTGTTGTATAAATCAGGTGAGATGACGCTCATTTTCATAGAAAATATATTTATAACTTGGAGAAGTTTTTCCCTGCTGAGAACTTTTTTGGCTTGACGGCGTTCTGTCTGAGCACTTCGAGCCCTGCCTTCTCAATTCCATTGGGAGTCAAGCAGCACTTTCTGAAAACGTTGAGTGCTTTTCTTTTTTTTATGTAGTTCTCCTTCGTAAGAGGTGGAACGAAATGTGGGACTTCTGCTGGATTTTCTTCCTGCTGGTTCAATAGGCAGAGATGGTGGGAAGAAATACTTGCTTATCATTTCACCGTGCTATGCAGAACTGAGGGAGGCAATAAATTCAGTGCATCTCCTGCACTGTGGTGATTCTGTTCATGAGGTTGGCATAACCTGTTTCACCTGAAGTGTCAGTTTAGAACGGGTCAGACCATCTGCTCCGTTGTGGGCTTTCTGCATGGAGAAGAAGACTCTCTAATAAGCAGTGCTGAAACAAAAGAGGAGTACCTTTAAAAGATATATTTTTAATAGGTTTTAGCATTTGGATTTGGTAAATATTTTTTTCATAATCCTAAAGATTCTTGAAAAAAAAATAATAATAATCTGTAATCATGAAAGAATAAAAAACAGCCAACCCTGTGGCTTCCATGGGTTTCCCTGCAGATGAAGAAGTCTCAGTGAGCAGTGATCATCTCATTGGGACCAGCAGGACCCAGCTTGGAGCCTGGTGTGGCTGGAATGAGAAATGCTTCTTGTTCACCTGCCACGTTCTTGGAGTGACTCAGTAACGTGGTCGTTGGGGTTTCATACTTGTTGTCCTGAGGTCCTCATCTCCTTTATTTTTGCAAATGCAGCAATCAGAAGAGCTGGGAAAGGCCTCGGACCACACTGTGCCTGATGCTCGTTTGCCTTGTGGTTTTAAAAATCATGTAACTGTGATTTTACATTCCTCAGACAGTGGCTGGCCATCCAGAAGCTACGAAGCAAAATAAAGAAGAAAGTGGACAGGAAAGCCAGTAAAGGAAGGAAAATCCGGTGGGTAGCAGCTTCTGCAGGCAGCCTGAAGTTCTGGTTTTGCCAAGTAGATTTGCACTGCAGCAGGTTGGCTCTGGGGTGCACTGGCACACTTGTTCATCCCCTTCAGGGCAAGATGGCCTGAGACTTCCTCTGGGGAGTCTTAATGTTCTTTGAGCCTAAGGTGAGGGGTTGGTTGGATGCTACCTGTGAGTGCTGCCAGATCAGTCTTAGCAAGAATGTTTTTTGGTCTCAGAACACACCTGCAGGGGTGTACAGATATCCCTAAGCAATTTGGGGTTGTAATTTCTGGTGAAAGCCAATAAGCACTTCTTGTGCAATATATATTTAGCAGGCTGAAATGTGGAGAGCAGCTTGAGGGGAAGACCTGTAAGCAAGCCCAAGTGAGGTGGATGCCTGTTTCCCACTGACAGTTGGCATGTAGAGTCTAAACTCTATTTTCAAGTCACGTCACAGCTTTCTTTAGCTTCAGATTCTGATTCCTCAGTCAGTAATGCGGGTTTCCCATGGAAGAACTGTCCATTCTGCAGGCTAGAGAGGGAAAGCAGCCTGGGGAAGATAGTTGTTTGTTTTATTTTTCCCCTCTGCAGAGCAGATATATTAGTCTGCCTGAGTTTAGCATGACTGCATGATTTGTAGTGAAGGAGGTATTTGTGGCAGGGAGGCATGCTGAAAAGCTGCACCATATCCTGAAAAATCTGCAACATTAACCATCCTTTTGTGAGTAAACTATAAATCGTGAGTTGAGGTGGCATCTGATAGAAAGTCAGTGGAGTCAGTCTGGGTCAGGCCTGGCATAGCAATTTTTAAGATAGATGTCATAAGATAATTTATTAAAAGAGGGAAGAGCTACTTTGTTGGCCTGAAAAGCCTATAATTATTGACTATCAATATTCTTTTCTGTCAGCATCACACGTAATTGGATATATTCATGATTCAGTCAAAACTACTGACAGCATCACACAACCGAGTCAGACTTGTAAACCTCCAGGAATGATGGGGGATTCTCGTTGTGAGCAATCTGTGTGCTTCAGCATTCCTGAGATGGGCCATCTTGCTGAGTCCATTGCCTCAGATCTTAGGTGCCTCTTTATTTTGTTCTCTGAATGAAAGTTGCACTGACCCCTCAGGAAAAATGTCAGTATTAACACGGAGGTAAGCTCCAGCATCTGTTCAGAATAGTCCAGTAGAGCCCAAAGGGGTGTTTTTAAATGGATGTCACCCTAACCACATTGCTTCTAACATTGCTTAGCAGATGTTCTCTCTTCCCCCCCCTTTTCTCCCTTAGATTGAGGTAGTGGTTCTTACATTTCTTTTCATACAGGGTTTGGAGATCCTGGGAAGCAAAGTGTCACATGCTACATTTCATCCATCTCTGTAATTCTTCCTTTTTTAGCAATGTTTTTCCAAACCTTCAATGTTAGAGCGTGTCCAGGTGAAATGTGCCAGTTCACTGCGTGGTTTGAGCATCTCCAAGTGCTTTCAAAAGCATTTGCCCTTGTGCTTGACATGAGGACCTGTCCCCTTCATATGTGGGGAGGCTGAGGCACCAAGGGGAGAAGCAAGCCATTCCCAAAAGGGTGAGCTTAGGAAAGCTGGTGCCCAGCCCTGTGCTGTCCTGCTCAGATGGTCCTTTGGTAGCTGTGGAGGAGCAGTGTGTGCACACCTTTGTTCTTGTCAGTGATGTCTGGTCCTTTGCTGCTGCAACATGGGATGTGGTCCTGTGGATGGAGATAAATAGCTTGTATCTGCTAGAGCAGGCTTTCCAAAGTCCTGCTTATGAACACATGGCAATAATTAGTTCTGAGCAAACAAATTTGTGCCAGAGAATTTATCAGAATTGCTCAGTCCCAACAGCACTGTGCAGCCTGTAAGCTTTGAACTGTGGGAATCAATCAGTTGTTGATGTGAGTGAGCTGTTTCACGGTTCAGCCTGTTGACCCACTGTCTGTTGCAGCACTGGCACGTGGTGCTGTGTCTGTTCCCCAGTTTGATCATACCATGTTAGGTCAGCACAGCTCCTTCCATTCCCAGAGAGGCCCTTGTGTAAGGGTGAGCATGTGCTGTGCCTGAAGAGCCATTGTGAAATATTCTTGTAAGTTAAAAAATCCCCTCAAGGGAATGTTCCTGCATAAGCAAACAAAAGGGAGTGCAGAGGTGACAGAGAGAAAAGGTGATTCTGGGCAAATGCTTGTGAATCCTTTTGCCTGCTATTTGTCAAGCTCTAAAAATAGCAGCAACTTGGATAAAACATTTCTGAGCCGGGAGGTGGTGTGGCAGTGTACATCAGAAGCTGCTGGTTTGGAACCTCCTGCACTTGCACACGAGGGTCTGAAGGCACATTCTCGCTCTGTTGAATTGTGCATGTCAGGTCCTGAGTGTAAGTCGTGAACAGCTACTGCCAGCTCCTAGCCCAGGGCAGAAAGCAGGAGGGGATTCCTGTATCTGTAGGTGCACTGCAGCTAGCAGAAGTATTTTGGTGGGTCAGAAGCTGAGACGGATGCAGAGCTGCATCACCTTGGGCATGCCCCTTCTGTTCTTTGGGGTGGTCTTTCTCCTACCTTCTTCTTTGCCTCTTTTTACATCCTGTGCTTCAGAGTTACTCGAGGTAAAAGTTTCCAGTTATGGGTATTGATAGGGGAGATGGATTTTGATATCCTTTAGGTCCCATGCTACCATAGAGCGTGGAAAGCATGATAACAGATGGATGCTTGGGAATACCTGATGCTCTGGTGCTTGTGCTGCCTGCAGAGGTCTCTGGGCACAAGCTCCAGAAGGCGATTAAGACTCCAGCTGAAGGGCAGGCTGAAAGCAGGAGTTCTTGTTTCTCTGCCTGCCTTTTCAGGGCTGTCTGTCTGGGAGTCTGATGAGGTGCTCACACACAATTAATGGATGCTGTATGTCCTCATTCTAGCTGTGCTGAAAAAAGGATTTGCTTGTTAGTCATCCATTCAGTTCATTGTATCATCTGATTATTCTTCTGTCCATGTTATAAGAAAGGAGGAGGAGGGAAGGGAGGGAGAATTGCCAACTGTCAGTAGTAACTCATTAGGTATCAGCCACCAGGAGAACCAGCACTTCCTTTGCAGGGACTGATATGTTTCTATTCAAACAGCAACTTTTCATTAGTAGTTACTAATGTGCTGCCTGCTTATTCCTGCCCTGTTTTAGGTATCATGTCCATAGCAAGCTGGTGAGCTTCATGGCACCTATTGACCACTGTACGATGAATGATGATGCCAGGTGAGTAATAGATTAATTATGTTTCTCAAATGGCTTCATGACAGCATGATATTGACCTGTTCTTCAGTCTGTCGCCCTCTCCATTTCTTATCAGTTAACCATTTGTCACTGGCATCATAGCCTGGGTGTCTTGGCCACATCTGTCCAGGCAGTCTGCCTGAGCTTTCATGCTGTAATTACTGTGACACCAAACAAGAAATTTTCATAAATCTCAGTACCTACGTTTTTACCCCTGCTTTAAAATTACATGGATGCTGAAATCTTTTAGTTTTGTGGAATTATTCTAGAAATTGTCAACTATGTCACCTAACATCTACTGGTATGATTGAAAATTACAAAGGATTTGTCTTCTGACAGAAGTGGCAGCTATTTTAAATTCTGTTCAGTGTGCATTTTGTAGTGCAGGTAACAGCTGGGATGGTTCTGTCAAGATTCAGACAAGTCCTAAATGTTGCTTGTGTTTATCACTGTTTAAAGGTGAGATGTTTTATTAGAAGACTGCACTGTTTTAATTTGCTAATTACTAAAGAGGGTACAAGTTAAGTTTTGTACATAGCTGCTAGACAGTTCTATGTAGACATGCATAGTTCTGCTGTGTAATTATGATTTTTTAACTAAATCTTGAGGTGGGCTTCTTGTGGGAGGGAGCTGCTGTAATCTTTACAATGAATGGATGTCAGATGCTCGAGCAGTGCCTTTCCCCTGGGTTGTGGAACATGCCTGTGCTTTGTGAGAGTAAAATGTCATTTGTCACTTTGGGAAATGGAAGCCGAATACCTGCTGCTCTTAGGCTGTTGCCTTGTGGGTATTTCACAGACTTCTGGATGAGAACTGTTCAGAATGCTGGCACTAAGACATCTTCTGTGCACAGTTAGACCCGTGCTGTTTTGTCCTAAGGAGTTCAGGATGTTTGTCTTCACTTGCATACAGTCCCTATTGCACTGCCCTGCAGGTTGGGCAGGCATGCAGGTTGCTGCCCTGTCCCCACAGTGAGGGAAAGCTCAGTTTGTGTGATGTGTGTGACAGGGGGAGGTGGAGAAAACAAAGATCCTGATCCTAATAATCCAAGGGTTATCACAGTGTGCTTGCTGTCCCCAGAGGTGACGTTGCTTCCTCCTTCGCAGTCCACTACGCTCACTTGTGTTCCAGAAGTTGTGCAGAAAACTCATTCTGCAAGCCCAAATTCTCCAAGTGCATGCAAATGGAAGAGCAGCAAACAGCTGGACTGTCATTTGGCTCAATGGGCTTCTTGGGCCTCACTACACGTCCTCTGCCTGTCATCTTCATAACCCTGCTTCCCCTTACCCCTCAGCAGGCACCTGCAGCCCTCCTGGGAGTCCAGCTGACCCTCAGAACTATTAGAGCTAATGGGGTGCTGTCTGTGTGGTGCTGTGTCAACACACTTATTGTTGTGGTAGGGCCAGAGTGTTCGAGAGCATCTCCTGGGAGTTCTCTGCACTTTGGAGGGATTATTACATGGCTTGCATGTTTTATGGGTTCTTTGGTGGCAGCAGTGTGGCAGCAGCTGCTGCTGCTTACTGTCTGACTGCAGGAACTTATTCCTTACATTAAGTTTATTAGTTGCTTTGGAGGCCGCCACACTTTCTGTTAATGGCATTTTAGTCACTTATCTCTTGGTGCTGCTTTAGCTGTCTTAGAACGGAGCTGCCAATTGATGTGTTTGCACACCAGCAAGTGGGCCTGAGGGCTGCATTGCGTGTGCAGCTGTGTCTCATTCTGCCAGGATTGGGCTTTCAAGCAAACCCTGGGTAGGACAGGGCAGCACAGGCATCAGGCTGGGCAGTTCTGCTCACAGTTCTGCTCGTGGCCCCGTGGGTCGCCTTGGATGGTTGGCTCAGTGTGCTTCTGTGGCTGTGAACTGGGATGCCTGGAGGTCTGCAGAGAGAAAGTGTAAAAAAACAGTGGTTTAGTAATGGCAGTATTATCACTTCCTCGTTATAAGCCAGCAAAGCTTTTGTTTTAGGTGAGACGGAGCACCGTACTTCTCTAACAGCACGCAGCCACCTTGGACAAGAAGAATTCCACATGTGCTTTAAACTGCAGGTGTATTAATAAGAAGGAACCAAGCCTGTATACATGAGAGGGAAGCAGACATGATAACACCTTTCTTCTGTGACAGAAGAAGGTAACTTTATTGTTTCCACGTGTGAATTACTACATTGGAAATGCAGTGTATGCTTGACAGGGATGTGACTGTGCTCTGAGCTGGTTTTTTTTCTTGCTCAGGCACTTAAAAGACGTGACCCCAAAGTAAACACGCATCAGAACAGCAGAGTGCTCTGTGTTGCAGTGTGAGAAATGTAAAAGTATCAGTGAGCTGTGCATAAAGAAGAGTAGCAATAGAGCTGGCTGCACATTCCTCAAGTTCTACCAGTGGCCACAGTGTCAGGTAGATACCTGGAAAGTGGCAGTGAACAAATACGGATGTGCAGATGTGAATGGGCAGAGTGGTGCTCAGGCTCTGGTTCTCCTGGGGCTGTGCCAAGCCCTCACACCTCAGGTGCAGCCCCTTCACCACTGGGGCAAAAGCAGAAAGGAGTTGTCTGTGACTGCAGCACTGTATTGCCCAGCCCCTTTGTGTATGTTTGCACAGATAACGTAGGGATAAATCTGAGGCCTGGTTTTCCTGTACGTTTGAGCCATCTTATACTGCTCTGGCTGTGCAGAGAAGGGCATAGCTTCTTGGCACAACTTAAAATCGTGCCAGGTGATGCTGGGGCTCTCCTGAAGGCTCCTGGGTGGTGTTGGTGTGGCTGTGGGCAGCCAGGACTCTTGGGCACATCAAGTTTAACGCTGGCTGGGGAAACAAGGAGCAAATGTGTGAGGAGAAACAACCTGTGCACTGCGTGGGGAAGGGGATGGATGGTCACTCCAGAATTGTTTTACAGCCTGAATTTGAAAAAAGAAACATACAAGCATAATGCTGCCTTTGTCAACATCACTGCCACGTTCTTTCTTATTCTTGCTGCTGGTTGGAATAATAGCATTCGTGCAGGCAATTAATCTTCTACTTGCCAGTTTTTCCATGCACCCTACGCATGGGCATGGCTGTTTAACCTCGTGCTCACATATATTATGTTGTAATGTGTGGGACACTGGTGGCCTCGAGCTCTCCTCTGTTTTAACCCCTCTCTGGTAGTATTTTAAAACATACACTGGAAAGTGATTTTTATGGTTATCTTGGGGTATATGTTTATAGACTTAAATACATTTATGGTACTCTTGGGCCAAGGTTCTCCTAATCGGTCCAAGGTCATTGCTATGTAAATGGGCCTGCCCTGTGACAAGGAAGCTGAAGGCAAAAGCTTGAATGTGAGTGCCCTGCAGTGGTGGATTGGAGGAGAGTAGTGGGCTCAGGAAGGAATGGATCTCTGTCAGAATGGCATCGTGTGGGTGTCACCTCCTGGGCCTCCCTTGAAATGTGCTTTTCCTGTCTTCTCCACCTGGGGTCCCTCCTTTGACACCAGCAGCTGCAACAGAGCTGGCGAGCTGCCCATCTTCTCTACTCTCTACCCTGGGAAAAGAGGCACAGGAGATGACAGACCGAGCCTCCAGGTTCCCAGTAAAGGTGTGCAGGTCCGGAGCCAAATGAGTGCATTTTCGTAGCTGTAGGAGTGGATCCTCCAACCAGTCTAGTTGTGGTGAGGTCGGGTAAGGTCTGTGCTCCTGGGAGGACGTGAGTGGATTCTGGTGGTGTTACATCTCTGTCAGCTTTGATATATGGACCTTCAGATCTCTGCGCTGTACGTGTGTGCAGCAGAGACGAAACGTGGACATTTTGGAAGGAGGTCCAGTATCAAATTACTGCTCTGTTTGAGGAACATCCTCATCATTTCGCCTCTGGAGGATGGGGAACTTGTGAAAGAGGCATTCTTTAAGGACACAGATGTTTGGTCCGCACGCCTTTATCTCCCGAGACGACCCAGGTTATTCTGACAGGTAAAACAAGATTGTGCAAATATGCAACAGTGATCTAATCAGCTGGAACAACAGCAATATTTTAACTGGCGCTACCTTTTAACAGCATCATTAAGGGCTCTCATTACTCTTTTATTAGAGGCTCACTCTATTTCTTATCAGATTACAGAATGAACATAACTCATGGCACTGATTTGATCTCTTGTTAAAGAGGATTACAGCTTTGCATTAACTTGGATTGACACGGTTTATAATTTGCTGTTGATACACATGCTGGTGGTGTCACATGTTTGACCCCCCTCCCCACAGCACCACTGAGGGAAAGGGACACCCATACATCATCATTAAAGATGGCACTGGTGCAGGAATGGGAGGCGAGGGGAGGCCTTCCTGCAGTAAGGCAGGCAGGACAAAAGAGGTGCATCCTCAGTGCAAGCTGAAGTTCAGTGCTGGCTGAAGGGCAGCTTTGGGATGGGTCCTTTCTCACCTAAGTTAGCCCACAGGTTGCTGCTTTTGGGCAGAATTGATCGTGCACCAGGACCCCTCTTTGCCTGGCAGAAGTTACGTGGTCATCGTGTCCTTGCTTGTAGGAGCTGTGGGCCGTAGGGGCTTCAGGTCTTGGCTGTGTGCCCCTGCTTGGTATGAGAGCAGCCGGCCTGCTGTGCTTTTGGCTGCTTTAGTGCAAGCAGGCTGTGTCTGCTGGGGAGCAGAGTGAAGGCACAGCTTATCCTGCTGCCAGTAAGCTGTGGATTAGAGCTTTGCTTTTGGATTCAGCCAGGATGTTGCGTGCATTCCCAGGCAGCTTTCTCACTTTTGGACTTAGTGCTGTTGCTCTGTCGCAGTGTGTCTTGCAGCAAGCAGAAGGGGGTACGTCGTAGGAAATCCCGGTATTAAAAGATTAATTTACTTATGTGACATAAGATTTTTAACGTAAGAAAAGTATAATAAAAAAAGTTGGTGAGATAGCAGCCTTTAACGTAGCTCACTTTGTGCTGTGGGTATTAAAACACCATGAGACGAGATTAATGGGGGAATTTGGGTGCTGAGATTGTCAATCCAGCACCGTTCATCATGACAGAAGTCCCTGCCAGCAAGCAAAGCATTTCTTCCTGGAACAACTGCAGCTCCCGTGCTGCGTGGCACAAGCACTGGCGACTGCCAGTGAGAAGAATCCTTCCAAGTTTGTACAGGCACAGCCTGGAAGAACATCAGTCCAGGTTTGCACCTGCGTTGTTGTGTGAAACAGAGCAGCGCTGGCATCGAGGGCTGCCTCTACAGCGTGACATTTTGGGCATCGTTTGTTTGCTGGATTTTGACCCCATAACCTTTGGCTCAGCCTTAGAAGTCGACTCGTGTCGATGCCGTTATGTGCCCCAGGTGGCCTTAGGCTGCAGTGCTTGGAAGGGCTGCTGTTGGAGGAAGGAGTCACCATACGTTTGGAGGCTGGCAGTAGTGAGGTGGTATCCGTGCCCCCAGCTTGTGCCAATGGGCTGAAATCATCGTGTCCCAGTGTCTGATGTTTGACGTCCCTGGTAAGAAGACAGACGCCTCTGTTATGGAAATTTCCTGTTTAAAGGGAAAAAAAAAATAACCTGTTAAGAGCTGCAGGATGATTTGTCGTCCTTCCTTTGTGAGACAATTTGTCTTCTCCTGCATCAAATCTGTTATAAAACAGTCAAGCTGTGAAAGAGGGAAATCATCCTAGGAATATGGGATGTTAAGGCACACAAAGAATGGTCCCTCCGTGTGGGGTGTGCACAGCGTTACGGTGCCTGCTCTGCTCAAATGCCCATCTGAAACAGGGACCGAGAAGGCAACGTTTTATGGATTTCATGGGGAAATTAAAGCTGCTAGGAAACGTGATGGCAGAGCGTGCTGGAGCTTTCTGAACCTTTCCGTCTTTTGCTGCTTCTCCTGCCACTTCTGCATCTTTTATATGTCATGTTGTAAAGGCTCACATGAAACTGTGAATGCTGTTGGGACTGAAATCAGGGTGAGAAAGCTTCCTGTGCTGCAGTTGCTGATTGTGTCGCACGTGAGGCCGGTGAAAAGGCAAGTGGCCGTGTGCTGGCTTCAGGGGAGGGTGGGCAGCACCGGTGATGGGTGAGCATTGTGAAGCCTGGCAGATTCCACGGGCAGCAGCCTGGCTGTCCACCTGTCATTTCCCACTCCATGGCCTCACTGTGCAGAGTCCCTTTGTTTAGGGCAGGAACCAGCTTCCTGAAATATTATAAATCTCGTGCCTGGTCTCAGGAGACAAACCAGAGGTCACATGTCACCGCTCATAATTTAAAGCCATGGGGCTAAAAGCATTTGCACGGACTTGAAGGACCCAATCCTGACCTGCCTGAACGAGAGGGAATAGCAGCAGACCTTTCTGAATCTCCTTCAAGCACTGGGCACGGCGATGAGAGCCGTCTGCTGTGTAATTTATAGCTGGAGTTGTGTGTCTGGGGTTGGGTGCTGGGAAGTGAGGGAGAAAGAGAGAGAGAGTGCCATCTCGTGGGGCTGCCATCGCCTTGTGGGGCTGCCATTGTTGTGGGATGGTCATCGTGTCATGGGGCTGCCATCAGAGTGGGACGTTTGGCACATCATGGGGCTGCCATCAACACAGAGCGGTCATCGTGTTGCGGAGCTGCCATCAGTGTGGATCTGCTGTCATCCTGTGGGCTTGCCATCATCTCCCAGGCCAACCATCTCGCTGTCCTGCTGCCCTGCAGCCCCACATGACCCCGCAGCACTGCAAGCACACCGCTGTGCTTTGCGCTGTGTTTTTGAGGCCCCTGGCTTTCAAAGACCCCTGGTATTTGAGTGCTGCTCTGATGAAGGCTGCCACTCGTTTTGCTCCCCATCAGGCCTAGAATTGTTGCTGCAGAAGTGTCAGAGTGGGAAATGCACGTTAGGTGTGTGAAAGCAGAGCCAAATCCCATATGCTGTGTGCTGATTTTGAGCAACACTTTGGGCCAGAAATTGAGAAGGAAAGCACTGCAGCTTATTGTACCTTCCTGGGTTCCTGCTGTGCTTGCTCAGAACCCAGTAACCTGAATTTCCTACTGGTGGACAAAAGATTTCTTAGGATACAGGTGGAAAACTTCCCAAGCAAATGACAGGCAGCCTTCTGCGTTCATCAGGTGTGTGCTTTTCATCCTCCGTTTCTTGAGGGGTCTTCATGCTGTCTCTTCCACTGGTTTTTGTGAATTAAAAATGCGTTGTTCCCGGTGGAGGATGTCACGAGCAATGGGGTAGTTGTAGTTATTTCAATACTGCTTGGGGCATCTTCTAAATTATCTTTTTTTTTTCATCCTGGAAGAGGAGAAGAAGGAAAAGGTACATGGGAAAAGGCACAGCGATGTGTTGGAGGGTATTTTTATAGAAGCAGCACAGCAGTGACTCATGTGGCAGTGCTGTATTAATAGCACTCTGAAAAGAAAGAAGAAAAAAACCCACCAGAAATGGAATTTTTCCCCTTAATTTTGTTCTTCTACCAGCGTGCAGAACTGTATTTTTTTTTTTTTATTAAAAAAAAAGGAAATGGCATGAATGTAATTACACCAAGTGGGCCGGCGTTGGCTGTTCGGTGCTGTGTGGGGATGGCTTTGTTTTCCCTTTTGTGTCTGATGGAAGAGGGGCCGAGCAGTGGAGCTGGGGAGAAATGCCCAAGTAATGAAGGTGCCGTGCTCACACACATGCTTTATGGCACATGGCTCTGTGGCTCGTGATCATTTGTTTCCAGAAACGGGTTTTATGATAATACAGTAAAAATATTAAATTAGAAAATGCCTCACTAAGGGTGATAAAACCTTACTACAGTGGAAATAGGTAATTATCCCCTCTACAGCCTAAATGACAGTTTAAAAGAAATAAAAATGTTAGTGCTCATTACTTGCTTTTGTAGGTTGCAATAAAGGGTAAGTTAAATTTTAATTCAAGGAAGACCCCTGTATCCACCTGCTTCCTCGCACTCCACCTGAGCTGTGAGTGCTGTTCATTACTCAGCACAGGTCGCTCCTCAGCACGGCGTTGGCACCGCTGCCCCTCGGTGCTGAAGTCACCTTCCCTTGTCCCAAGGCAGCAGCCTTGTGCTGGGCTGGCTTGGCTCAAGTCGGTGGCTCAGGTTTGATGGTTAATAGACGTGGATGGGGGAGAGAAACTGGATGTTTTTTAGCCAAAATCCGGGCTCATTACGCTTAGCCTTAAGGGGGCTGGGAGTATTAAAATCCACACTTACCCTGGTGAATTGAAACAGAGACAAGGTTAAACCTGGAGGATTGATGAGTTTTACTCTCTGCATGGTTAAATCCTGCTGAGGGGAGATGCTGTGAAAGAAGGGCAGCCTGGATGGTGGGAGGAGGGGGGAAAGGAAGAAGGTTGTGTTGTCATGTTTTCTTTAGCAGGGCAAAACGCTTGTTCTGATTCAGATCGGAGGGGCCCTCTGGCTTTGCATCCCTGCTGGGTGTCTGCCTGTGCTGTGTGCTTTCCTGGGCTGTTCCACGTTGGGTTTGGCATTGTGCTGGGAGGAGAGGAGCAGTGCAGTGGGCAGGGAGGCGCTGGGCTGGCACTGCTGTGCTGCCTGCGAGGGCTGGATGCTTCCTCCTGGGCACCAGCTGCATCTAAAGAGTTGGGAACGTGCAGAGGCTGTGCTGTCCCTGAGCAAAGTGTGGAGGGAGGGAGGGAGCAGTGTGTGTGAGCTGTGTTTTTAGTCGAGCTTCTCCAGAACACTCACTGCTGGAGCTCAGGGCTCTCTGGGTGCTGCTCACAGCACTGACCCCTGCTGTCTTGCTCTTTGTAGCTCATCACAGCTTTCCAAGCACCCGTTCTGCTTTCTAGAGGTGCCCTCCTGCTTTAAGGCAGGAACTCCTTCAGGCTCTGCACAAGAGCTGTTTCCCCACGCGTTCATTTGCAGAAGGTAGAGCAGCCGACTGATGAATCACTTTCTGCACTGAAATTCAGAGATGTGACCCAGGGCCCTGTCCTTGTGCTCTGCCTTTGTGCCACCACTGAGCTTCGTCCTTTGAAGCCACCGGTTTGTCCTGGAGCAGTGAGGAGCTCTCCTTGCTCATCCCACAGCTGAGTACAGCCAGCGTATTTCTTTCAAAGGGAAACTTGCTCCTGTGATTTCAACTGCTGCACACGCGACATTAATTGGAATCTTGTTGCTGGGCCGTGTTCGTTGCTTTTCAAGTACCATCAAGTGCAAGAAATTGTATGGGAGGTAAATTGTAGCCCCACACAGGCTGTCTGATTGAATCTCCTTACGGCTCTGCGGTCTCAAACATCCCGTTAAAGTACTCCATCGTGTTTTCTGACTTGAAGGCCCTATGTGTAAAGAGCAAGCTTTCAGAAAACCTACAGTCTGTCTCGAGCGAGTCCTGCCCTTTGCTTGTGTTTATTAATGAAGATCGTTAAATGCATTTTTAATTATAGACAGGCTTTCATTCCAGGGAATAACACCTCCCTCCTGCCTCCTCTCCCCAGGACGGAGCTTTATCGTTCGCTCTTTGGAAGAATGATGCGGCCTGAAGACCCTCAGCGTGGTTAGGATCCGGCACCGCCGCACCTGCAGGTTCTGCCCCGTTCTCTTTGCAGCTTCCTGGCCTGCTCAGCACCGGCCAACCGTCGTGCCAGGAGAGGGATGTGCTGTCCCTGCATTTCTATTAAACCCTCAAAGGTTTTTATTTTGAAGATTGGTGGGATTTTTATTTTATTTTCTTATTTTTTTTTTTTTGAGGCGTGCCGTTCTGTTCGTTGGCTGCGGGTCTGGATGGGTTGACTTGATTTCCACTGAGTCAAGAGGATTTAAATGTCATTTACATAATTAACGTGGCCTTAAAACAGAGGTGCTCTGCCTTGCAGCAGCCCCAGCTCCCGGTTCACATTCCAGTTTCAGAACGGCCTCTTTGCAGCCATGGACGTCACCCAGCCTGTGGTAGGCATGCTGTGGGGACACACCTGGGGGTAGTTCTGCAATTAGAACACATTGGTGAGTTTTTCAGTCCAGCGTTGATTGTGGACACTTAATTATTTCTGCTGATTGTGACTGTGAGCCCCCTTCTCTTCGCTGTGACCGTGACACACTTCTGAAAGATGGCAGCACTAATGCAGAGCTGCCAGAAGGCATCACGCAGGGTTTGTGGGCTTTCTGTAGCCAAAGGCCACAGTTTGGAAATGAAACCTCCATAAAGGGAATCTATTAGCCTGCTGTGATCAATGTGGAACCGAGGTTATCTCGTGTAAATAATACGTGCATATATGTGTATAATGAGAATAGCCATTGCTTGTGACCACAGGAACTGCACTGTCTTTGTTCTGTGGGATTTAATTAAAGCACTTTGTGAATGGATTGTCCAGATTTGGTCGGTGCAGAAATGGCACCAGCAGCTCTAGCCTCTCTTGGACCCAGCAACAGACAGTTCTTAACCAGAGGCTGTGGTGTCACTTTGCACAGAGCTGCCTGAGCACCAGCAGAGTGTGCACAGAGCAGCTGGAACTTTGCTTCTGAGCCTTGGCTGGTGCCTGTTGTGATAGTGGTGTGGGGCACAGCCGTGCAGAGCAGTCACGGGGCCGGGGCTGTGCAGCAGGAGCTCATTGCCTGCACTGCTTCAGATTTGGAGTAAGTTTGTAGATTTGCTATATCTAAATATGTGGGCTGACTGCAGGTCTGAGGCATAACTAGATTACGACTAGTTACAAGCATGCAGGCACTGCTGCAATTAAATCAGATGATACTTTTGTCCATGCAGATTTGATGTGGTTTCACAAAAGCACTGCCAGCACTGTCGGTTCCTTGGTCGGTTCCTGCAGGCAGGACATGGGGCTCAGCCCTCCAGGGGACGATGGGTGCTGGAGCAGCATTGTTGTCCACAGGGCCTGGGTAAGAGCTGCTGTACGGCCTGGTGGCTCAGCACAGGGCAGCAGCAGTGAGACTTAGTAGCTCCATCAGGTCCCCAGAGCTGTCTGCAGATCTGGTATTAATTAATCCTTTTTACACCTCTTCATTACAGCTTTAAGTCTCCTTTCTAGTTACCTGCTTCCAGTAAATAGCTTCCTGGCACGTCACACGGTGTATTGAGCAGTCTGCCACAGCACAGGAGAACGTGCTGAGCTGCAGAGAGCTGGGGCTGCGTGTGGCACCTGGGGCTGGAAAGTGGACAGGAGGATGTGGGTGCTGCTCTGCCTCATCCCACCGCCAGCAGCTTGTGAGCAGACCTACCAGGTACAGATGCACCTCTTTGGGGAGAGGACTTAATTTACTCAAGGGTCTGTGACGTTTTGGTGTTGCTTTTTTAATGTGGGGAAGGAAAACTGTAATTGTCCAGTTAAGCCCAGCTCTTGTGTGCTGCTGCTCCTTTAGGTAATGTGCCTGGGGGTGCTGTGCTTCAGGAAGCTGTGGGGCTGTGTCACATCCTGGCTGCACTCTGTGGGGCTGCATCTCAGCTGCTTGTCAGTGTGCAGAGCGGGGCCTTCCCTGTCTCGCAGCTCTCTGGGCAGGCTTTGCCCCGTTGCCCCCCCGGGCTGCTTTCCACAGCCCTTTCCATGTCGGGGTGCTGCTGACACTCTCTCCTTCCCCACAGGGGTGTGAGCAAGGCCATTAAGCCAAGAGCCATGCCCAGCATCACACTGCTGCAGAGTCAGGGCCAGAACCCCACATCCATCCTCTGGGTGCAAATCTGGAAGCGTCCCCATAAGCTGCAGCATGTTGGTTGCCAGCAATGGGCAAAGCAGCACTGCTGCAGCCCCACCAGTGCCCCAGGTGGTTCCCCTGCCTTCAGTGGTACCTGCACTTCTTTCTTGAGCGGCAGCAGAGCTGTGTGGTTGTCTAACATCATTAAAATCTCATGGTTTAATAACTGCAATTCTGAAAGGCATCAAGGGGAGTAAATTGGCTGCTTCCAAACTTTGTGTCGGTGGAATGGTTTCACACTGCTGGCGCTGGCAGGGCAGGCATCACGGATGGCTGGCAGGGAGCGCCGTGCCCCTGCCCTGTTGGGGTTTGCTGTGCTGGCAGGAGGGCAGGCTGCTCTGCGGGGCTGCTGCTCTGACTCCTGTGTCCTTTAACGTGGCACCAAGATTCTGGGTATTATTTTTTTACATTTTGAGAGCTGGATGTAGCGTTAAAAGGGTAATGTGGAACACTTTAAATGTGATAACTTCTCCTTCGTATTGTTGGAAGAGATAAGAACCAAAGCCCTGCTAAGCATGCTTTTGAATTCACTTATCAGTGTTTAAGCAGGCTTCTCTGCCCGCTGCCCCCACCACCTGCACAGCCCCGCAGCTCCAGCCTGCTGCCCTTCATGGGGAGGTCAGCACTGGTTCCAGGCGCAGGCAGGTGCTGCTGCTGAGTCCCTGCGCCCTGGTGGCAGCGGTCACCACGCAGCCAGGTGTCGGCAGCAGCTGTGTGTGCTGGTCAGGGAGGGCACAGGTGTCCGGTGTGATTGCTGCTAAGTTTTCCTAATGATGCCAATTAACGGCCGCTGAGATTTATTTCGCTCCCCGATGGAATATCCGTTCTTTATTCATTCATGGTACAGCTGCTAATGAGTGCCTGCACACCCGGCCCAGTGCCTCTGTGCAGCATCGCGCAGCAGCCAGGTGTGTTGTGATGGGGAACGGGCTGCGAGTGCTGGGGCGGCGCGGAGGGCTTCTCCTCATCCTCTCCCCCCACAATAGCAAAGAATTTCAACTTTCAGACAAACAACTTCATTTACAAGTGTGTCTCTAATTAGCTGCAGAATTAGTAAAGCAGAGTTTTCCCCCCATAGATCGGCCAAACCCCTGAGGGAGGCTGTGGAATAGAGAGAATCGCATTTCCAATTATTTTGTTGAATTGCTAATTTAGTTATTGTGCCTGGCGTAATTGTGATGGGTATTGGGTGTGCAATTCAATTTGTTTTAAATATTTGTGGGAAGGCTGATCAGTAATGGAGCTGACCTATTTCATGGCCCAAATTGAGAGAAGAGACTAAAACAAAAAACAGCTACAAAGCCACAGTTTGTCTCAGTTTTTATTTTGATGTCTCTCATCCCTCTTAAGACTGTTGATGCAACAAAAGGTTTACATTAAAAGATGATGGCACTTTGATCTCGGGCTTTTGAGAGCTTACAGCTTTGGTACTTCTTTTCTTGGCATTTTAATATGTAGATATTTTAGGCTAAAGAGTTTTAAATGCATTTCTGGAGTTCAGTAGCCCCCTGTTTCCCCCCTCCCCCAGCTGTATTATGTTTGTTAAGGTGATTTGTGCTTTTACCCATCAGGATTCTGGTTTGAGAAATGCACAAGATCACAGCTGGGATTTTCCTGGCTCACGTTGTCCAGTTGAACACATCACACCTTAACCTTTAATAGGGAGAACCTGGAAGAAGGTGAGCAGGGAGGGTGTGCGGCCGAGCTACGTGCAGGTCATGCCCAGTGTCTGTCACAGGGCTGCTGTGCCACCTCCCTGTGGGGGCTGGTTAACAGGGGGCTGTGCCAGCACCTGCAGAGCTGCAGTCACTCAGTGTTAAAGAAGAAATCAGGGGATGGGAGCGCCTGAGTGAGGCTGAGGGACGAGGGGTGACAGACTTACACTCCTGGCAACAGCGAGAGATGTAATTCATTCTTTTTATTAAAAGAAACTGAGGTAAGTGAAATACTTCAGCACCAGCAAGAACAGCGTGTACTGAGGGGGGGTTCCCGCAGTGCCAGGCCCCCCACCCCGCTCACAGCCCGACCCACACACACATGGACAGGGCAGGGCACTGCAGCACTGCGCTGCTGGGCTCCAGCATTCACCAACAGCTGCTTTACCCCCAGTTAAGCAGTGCCTGAGCCCCTAACACTGGGCTGGAGGGGGCTGCTCTCGCCCAGCAGGCAGAAGAGTTTGGCGGCTGCAGCTCCCCCCAGGCACAGGGCGCAGCGTGGTGGCACCAGGACCTCTCCCATTAACACCTGCAGAAAGGCTGGTAGCAGACCCATGTGTCACAGACCTCAGTGTGCCACCACCACGTAGCAATTCCTGGTGAGGCGCCCTGTTCTGCCTGGCTGAGACATTCTCTGTCCTTGTGTCCGGCTGCAGCCTGGATTGGCATAAGTAAAAGCATCTCTGGGGATTGTTTGGGAGGGAGCTGGAGGGCAAAGAAGAGTCTTTTAAGTTAAAGTTAGGGTGCTGAACTAACAGGATGAGGTTTGTCCTTTGGGTGGCAGCTCCTGGTCCTCTCAGAGAGCGGAGAGTAACCAAGGAACCCCAGCACTGCACCTCAATCTTACAGCATTCCGGCTGCTGTGCACAGAAGGGAGCAGCAGGTCAGAGGGAAAGAGCACAGGCGTGAGGCACTGGCTTTGTAATTAATTCTCTCCTAAAAGCATCCCTTCTCATTCGCCCTATGCTAAAAGAGAAAGTGTAAAATCTGGAATACTTTTAAGACAATCATTGGTGTAAGCCCCAGTTTTACTTTTCGCAGAGTTCCTCTGCGATAGAGGAGCCCCTCTGCTCCTGCAGTGCTCAGATGGGGGCCCTGGACTGGCTCAGCTCCCTGCAGGCAGCCTGCAGCCCTTGCCCAGAGTGACTGGAGAGGTCACTGCAACAGGTGGAGCTGCCACTGGGTGTTAAACAATGTGTAATTGTACCTCCCCTCCCTTTTTCTTTTTAATTTCTGTCTTCTTGTGTGAACAAGGCAGTTCTTGTGCTCTCCAGCAGCTCTGGGGTAGAGGTTGGTGCATAAGAAAAGAGAAAAGCTCAGGTGTGCTGAACCAAATTTGCCCCTTGCAGTTCTAACCACATCTGTGCGTTGGACTCATCCCCTCCCTCTCTTGCCTTGGCAGGTTGTAGCTGCTTTTCTGCTTCAAGTCACCTATCCAAATAGAAAGAATTAATGAGCACTTTTAAGTATATGCAACAATGGGTCTGCCCCAGAACTGTTACCCCTCAAAATAAGTAGGGGAGGAAGAGCAGAAATGGGCAAAAGCCACATTTTTACTCCGCCTCCACCTCCCCCTCGAAGGGCTTTTCACGCCCTGATTTGCCTTTCTGATGGAGCTGTGCACACAGGCAGAGTACACAGGGTCCCCCTCTCCTCAGCCACGTCCCCATTCCGGAGTGCTGCCCTCGTGGCAGTGGACACAGCATTGCCTGCCCCCACGTTCTGTTGTAACACATGTTTACAACAAAGCCCACAGGGGCTGATAGCAGAGCTGCTGCTCAGCCACAGTACAACACACAGAGACCTCTTCAGCGACCGCTGGGACGAAGGAGCTCCCACCACTCCCAAAGGCAGAGCCCATCCTCAGCCCTCAGGAAATGCTCCTGCAGGTAAAACTGGCGCCTGCCAGCGCTGCAGGATGTGTGTGAGAAGCAGACAGGGGCACGGGGTGCAGTGTGGGAGCCCCACCACTTTGCTGTGCCCAGAGCTCACGGTACTGCTGTACCCGTCATTGCCCGGCCGTGCTGCTTTCGGTGGCAGCGGAGCAGCAACTGCTGCGTTGGTCCAGTCCCACTTTGTTAAATAAATACAGTACAGTTAGACAGCTGTAACTCAATCCCGCAGGCGCTTGTGTTTATACATCTTCCTCGTGGCTCTGGCCAAAGGACACGCTTCCTCTGGTCAGTCTGATTTGAAAAAATAAAAATGTCACTCTTCCAGCATTTCCCTGAGCCTCCCGTCTCGGTACAGCGGTTGCAGTTGAGCAGACAAAGGGCAATTCTGAGCCTTTTTTTTTCTTTTTTTTTTTTTTCCCCTCCACTGTACCGAGCAGGGGGGAGTACAGGAAATCGATGCTCTTACGTTGAAGAAGGAGAGTCCATTGTGGAGAGGATCCGCACGATCTCCGCTCGCTGGGTGGGTGATATATGCTGGGTCATGTGCACGATCGAATCCATGGCAACCTCCGGATTGGCCTGGACCAGGCTGCAAAGAGGAAAGAGTTCAGTGCTGGCAGCCCCAGGCCTCATCTGACAGCTCTGTCAGGGAGTGCTGACAGATGGGCTCCTCGGAGAGCAGGAAGCAGCGGGCGCTGCTGGTAGCTGACTGCAGGCTGGGCAGTGAGCTGCTGGCAGGGCACGGGCACAGCTCCCTGGTGGGCATCACTGCAGCACAGGCAGAGGAATGGACAGGAATGCCTGGAGATGCCGTGCTGAAGTGGGTGACACTGCTGTGCGTGTCAGCGCCCTCCTCTAACACACAGGAGTCAGCTCTGTTAGATCTCTTCAGTTCTAAGGCAGGGCTCTGCTCGTGGAGCTGTAAGGAGGAGCACCTGTGCCAATGTGATGGTAATGCTTAGAGGCAGGAGGGACAGACCTGATTCACCACTGCTTCACTGTCGGAGGGGTGTGTTTGCTATAGTTCTGTACTAGAGTCAGAAGGGATTCAACATTTTATGGCACTGAGCACAGAAGCTTGCCTGCAAAAACTACAGCTGGAAAAAAATCAGTGGGTGGAAGCCATGCGGGTGCTCACCTGCGGATCTGCTTCAGGATGTAATCCCTGGAGATGTACTTGATGTTCTCATCCACAACCGAGCGAACCCCTTCCTCCTCCATCAGCTGCTTCTCCAGCCACTCCACCAGGTCCTTATTGCTGTCCCACAGGTATGCCTGCCAACAGAGCACACTGTCACCCCCTGTCCCTTTGCTCAGCCCTGGCTCACCAGCACTGCTTGCAGCCACGTAGCACTCTGGAAATTTAATTCAACTCGAGAAGTTCAGGGCTCAGATGCTGACCTGTGGGCAGGGCAGCTTCTGCATGGCATCCCAGGCCCTGCACAGCTGCACAGCCCTCCAGGAGGGGGTCCTGGCAACAAAACCCCATTTTCTTCTGCAAGATCATTTCACCTGATATTTGCGAGGTAGTTGACTACATAATAATTCAGGAGTGTGTTAGGTGCCTAATAGCCTTCTCGCTCCTCTCTTCTCCTCTCATTTTCTTTACAAATCATTTAAGAACTGTTTTGTTAATGGTTTCCGGAAAAGCAAGTACCACCATTAGCACTCATTCATATTTATGTCATTTTATTTGGGTAATTAAACACAAAGCTCGTCATTTAAAGGTGCACTATCCTTCTCTGTTATCACTAACAAAGTCAAAGTCAGAATGACAATGAGCTCCGCAGTCAGGGGGTGGCTGGGGCACAGGGGGACCCAGCACTGCACAAACCACCACGCTGCTTTTGGTTTTATCCATAAAAATTACGTGTGTGGCTCTCTGAACCTCGTGATGTCATTTCAACCCAAAGATTCTGCTTATTTTGTTGGGGTTTTTTTCTTATTATTATTTTAAACTCGTTAGTTTGTGCTCCTTGCTGCTGCCCCCAGACATGGCAGGAACACTGCCTGCATACAAAGTAGGGCACTTTGGAAGATTTCAGGAAGGAAAGAAAAGCCCAAGCAGCCGCCTTACGGTTGCAGACCTGCATAAAGCTAGATTTACCCAAGAATCCCAAAGCTGTTACTTTAGGAGAATATTTAATACTCTTATTAATCATTTTTAATCCGTTTGCTTTTAATTAAGAAACAGCATGATGCTTTCCTATCAACATATGCCAGGGAGCAGATTAATTGTGGCTTAAGATAACTCTCCTTGATTGGTGTAATGTATTAGCTAACGAGATGCCCGCTTTTAAAGGCGCTCAGACACTACCTTGGAAAGCCTGCCGCCCTCCAGAGAGCACGTTCATCCCCCTGCTTTCTGGAACCCCTGAGCGTTTGTGACTTTAAAAATAAAATAAAATGAAATAAAGAACTGAGATCGGAGGATTGCGACAAAAACAACCTAAGAGCTGTGCTGGGGATTGCTCTTTAGAGATTGCCAGTTCAGAGTTGGAGCACAGTTAAAGACATCCTCAGCACAGCCATCGGATGAAGATGCTGCTGAGGTGATTTTCCCCCCCTCTCCCCAATTCCCAGCCATGCTGCCTTCCTCTCAGGGCCGCCCTTCCTCGCTCTGCCAGCAGAGCTGCCCACCTCTTTCAGATGCTCACCTTTTTGTAATGGTAGTGCAATGTAGCTTTGTGCTTGGGGAGAAACCTATTGAAACTGAGTGTTTGTGCTCTCCTGGCCTGAAATACGGCATTCCCATGAAGTAACTCATGACCTGGAACATCCCCAGAAGTTCTCTTTCATCACCCAAAATATTTTTGGACACTACACAACTGAGAACCAAAGATGAAGTCCCACTTGGGAGAACTTCATTGGACTTACACCCACGGAAGACCACAGCCTGGCACAAGTGTGCTTCCACTTACCTTTACTGTCCCTTCCACTTCCACAAACCAGCGTCGCAGCATGGCCTGGATCTGCCCGTCGGTCAGCTCAGGGTTGGCATCGTGGATCTTCTTTTTGACCACATCTTCCAGAAGAAGACGTCTCAGCCTCCAGTAGAAGAAGGTACGAGAAGTTTTCCAGTCTAGAATGTCCTGCCCAGGACAGAGATGGAGAAATGAGTGAGGGGCAGCATTTCCGTGGAGAAAAGCTTAAGCCTTGCTCCGCACTGACGTGAATGGCTCTCATTCATACACCCAGTTGTGCCACTCACACAAGAAACACAAAAACGTCTCTGCTCAGCCCCCCCACCCTGGTAGCAGAGTTACTGCCCTGAGCCAAACCCCAGCACTCACCGTGATGGCACCCTTCTCCTGCATGCGGCCTGGTGTGTCGTGCAGATCAGCAAACTGCATGGCCACCTGGTGGTAAATGGGGATCAGGAATTCCTCCCGCTCCTTCAGCTTGCTCTCCAGGTCTTTTCGGTCGGCAGCACTCAGCTCAGGGGTACCTGCAAGCAGGCAAAGCCACAGGTCAGCCACCTCTGACAAGTCGAGGCAGAAGAGCAAAAGGTTTGTCCTGTTCCTGCACACGGGATGCCTTTGGCCGGGAGAAATGCCAACCCATCAGCTCCGGGCAATGCCAAGAGCTCCTGAATCAAACCAAAGTGCTCCAGCCTGGATTTCCTGCCAATAGTATTCAGGCAAAAGCTCCAAAGCGGAGTTTCACCATGGAAACTCTATTTCATTTAAATGCCAAATGAGTTGAGCCATCAATTGAGTGACAGATTTCCTGGAGTTGCTCCTAAAAAAGAATTATGTTCCAGCACAGCATTCATTTCAGCCCAAAACACGGGCGGTGTGAGACCACTGAGCACCACTGCGTGCTTTCCTGCAGGCAGTGACACCTCACCACCCCGTCCACTTACCAGCAGCCAACACAGCTCCCAGCCACGGAGCAACATGATGGACAGGAAGGAAGGCTGTGCTGTGACACCGTCCTCTGACATTCATAATTTTTCACTTGTTTTGAAAAGACCAAACTCCAATTAACAGTGATTAAAACACCTTAATTTCACCCTGTGAAGTACAGGAACCAGACTAAGCCAGGAACTCTGCCTCTGACACTCGTGCACGAGGTCTGCGTGCAGAGGCAATGATGTACTGAGAGCCAATCTTGGCTCAGTTCAAGCAAAGATTGCAGTCAGAGCCAAATTCCACGTTGGTCTCACTGCCCAACTGCACGGGGCTGCGAGAGCGATCCTGCACAGAGGGCAGCAGAGCCACAAAAGAAAGAAGTGAGAGCAGTCGATGCGAGAGCAGGGCCATGAGCTCCGTCCTCAGCACCCCATCAGCCAGGCATCCCGACTGCTGCGTGCTGTGCCAACACCACCGAGCGCTCTGTGTTTCAATCTTTATCATTAGGGGAGGAATACTGATTAACCACTGAGCTTTTCAACACACCTCCCACCCCCTCAGCACCCCATGGCCGTGTCCCTGCAGAGCTTCCTTCCACCTGGGCGCACACAGCACTGTGCTGCCCGGTCCCTTCAGCAAAGCTCCCCAGCCAAGGCGCACGTCTGAGTGCCTACCAATACAAATGCTGCCTAACCTTTCCAGTGCGAGTAAGAAGCTTTTAATTAAGAGCAGCGACTCTCATAACCTTCAGAATAAAGGATGGGACGTATTTATCCACATTCAACTCGCCCGTTCCTCCAGCCCTGTTCCAAATGGCAATGCGTGCACTTGAGCCCACGCTGCTGCTGGATCCTGGCCTCCATGCACACAGTGCACCCGGAGCAGCCAGGCCCAGTAATGATTTAGGTGAGATTAACAAATATGTCAATGTCTATTTTCTGCTTAATTTAAAAGCGGCGTCTATAAAGATTTTTGACTTCTGAACCCTGTTCTCCTGAAAGAAAGAAGGTAACAATGAGGAGGGGGGATAAAGAGTGATTATCCCATCATCGATCGTTTGTCAGGAGCATTTCTTATTCACTGGACTATTGTAAAAAGCTAAGCTCTCGATCAATCCTGTAAGCCCCCCGTACAATTAAATATCTTGGAATGGTTTTCTTTCTTTCCAAGCAGATCTCGAGGCCTCAGGGCTTTTCAGAGCGCTCGGGCCTTATTTATTTATTTCTCAGGAAAAGTCTCCTTCCACAAATCTCACTTGGCAGGGGGAGCAGGCTTAAAATATGGGATTCCTGTGCTCTGAAGGTACCGGACAGTTAATGAAAGCGTTACCGTTTAAATCATAGGAACATTATAGACCTGGAGGTATGGATCAGCTGCTGATCAATGGGGAACAAAGGAGCAGTGCTGTAGCAGGGGGTGCAGTGGGGATGTCGGGGAAGGAGGGCCTCCCTGCTCGGCAGGAACGTGGGGCACGCTCAGGTGGTGCTGGAAGTGCCCTCAAGGTGCCACCAAGTGCCTCTGCAGCAAAGCCCAACCTCAGCACTACGTATTTCCCACCTCTTCATCCCACTACATCTCTTTTTTGGATCGATGGCAGAACTGCCTCGGACTGGCTGAGAAATTACCCTGGGGAAGCAGCATTCGTGTTGGGAGACACAAAAGATCACGTTCTGAGGGGAGAGGTTCGGGATCCAGCGGGGAAGGGGAGCCCCGCAGCCACCGACCCGCATGCAGACGGATGGGAGCTCCTTGCCATCAATCTGCTGGCACGGCTCTGCGATGCTGAATCTCCATTTACGCTGCTCTCCAAAAGTTAAGGGGAGGCATCGCAGCAGAGAAAGCAGCACCTAAACTATTGTGATTTGTGCCCCATTAAACAAAACCCCTCTGCGGGAGCAGCCCCCCACCTCCAATAAAGCTCCTGCCTTTGGGGAGCGGCTCCTCAGGCCCATGAATCACGGCCTCCCATAACATTGAGTAGCAAAGCGCTTTTCTTAAATATGACCAGTTGAACAGGTTAGACAAAACGACTTCAAGGAATGTTATTGTAGGTTCCCTCCGATTGCAGAAAGCCAGGCAGCTTCTGAATCAATTTGATGGTTTATGGTTTCTAAGCTGTTAAAACGTGGGATTTTCTCCCTTGCCCTCTGCACAGCCTCAGTGTGGCAAAGTCTTTCCTTGGCCATCTGCTCACCTCAGGCATCCCCAGGACCCGGCCCAGCCACAGCTGCACACCCACAGGCCCACCTGGGGATTTGCTGCTTCCTAGGTAGCACAGTAAGAGCCACCCAGTGACATCAGGATGTGCCCATTTTAACCCTGGTCTCGACCGCCCCATCCCATTTCCAACACCTGCAAGAATCCCCATGAATCTCACCTTCTTTGCCTCTGCCTCTCCCCATCTGCTGCCGGACAGAGCTGGGGACAGGAAGGTCACTGTGAGCTCACGTCCCTGCACAGCGGGCGGCTTTGGGCCATCGCTTGTTCCTTTAAATGAGGCTGCTTGTAATTGCTTCGCTAAATATTCAGCAGGATTTATGTTACAAAGGTGCAGTATGCAATAGCAGTGAAGGTCATACGTGCCCGTGACATGGGCTTGAGATAGCCTCGTGCAGCTGCACATGCAGTGCTCTGCCCTGGTCTTCTGCTCCCAGAGCTCTGTTAGCAACACAGCACCTGGGCCACGTGGCAGATGTGGGACTCCTGAAGGTGTATTTGGGGGAATCCATTTGGGCCCTGCAGGGTTCAGGGATGCCGATGGAAGAGGTGGCAGCTATCAGCACTTGCTTGTCTGGGCTCCTGACCACACAGTAATGATTCAAATGCAGCAGCACTTGCAGATAGAAGCAAAGGCAAAAAAGTTACAGCTGCACCAACTGTGTTTGTCCCAGACTTCCTGAGAGATGGCACCAGTACAGCACCATTTTTCATAGTCATTGCTCAAGAAAACAACCAGCATTTTGATTAATTACAGCACAGAGCAACAACCCACCCCCAGAAAATAATTATCGAACCTCTGAGCCACAATCCTCCTTTCTGAGCTGGAGCTGGGAGAGGGCCTGGCCATGGCACAGTGTCCCCACTGCAGGCTGGTGGCTGTGTGAGCTGCCTTTGCATTCCAATGCAGACAGAGCCCTCCTCCCACAGTGCACAACTGCACCCGGGCACACAGCTTTGCACGGTGCCAGCACACAGCTCAACACTTCTATCAGGAGAACCACAAATACCTGATAACGTAACTGAGTCTCGCTCTTAACTGGAACCATTCTGCCATCCTTTCACATTCCACCCAATTTTTGCTCACATTACACCATACAACCGAAGCACTGCATGCCTGGGATCCGCATGGCAAAGTTGGTATTTATTCCACTCCTGCCCGTTCCGTTGTAACAAACATAAAATGAACGGCATCGCGGCGCTGCTCTGAGCTGTGCCCATGGTCCCCCTCACCTGGGGGCCGCGGGCAGGACGGACCGCCCTCCTCCCTGTTGGGGAACAGCACAACTCTGAGTGACACCGCAACACAACGCAGGGCTAATAAACATTTCAGGACTGGTGCCAGGGAATTGATAATGAACAGATTTATGTCAAATGATTCGATATCTGCCGGCCTCCGCTGCTCTCGCACTCCCCCACTGCGGCCGGAGCGCGGTGCAGGGAGATCCTCCAAGGGGAGCGCCGGCCCCGCTCCTCACACCGCGCGCCTCCCGCTGCAGGCAGCTCGGGGAGGGATGACAGCCACTCAGGGGTTAAAGAGAGGCAGTGAACCCCCAGCTAATGAGTAAGAATTCAGCAGGCAGTGTAAGATAAATGGAGCTTTCTCTGCTTCTGCTGGAGTCAGCATGAACTGCGGCCCTGCGGCTTGTTTGTGGCAAATGGAGTGCGCGAAATATCAAAGGGCAGTGATCCAGAAGAAGACCGACTTTGACAAATTTTAAATTGGCCAGAAAGAAAACCAGCAAAAAAAAAAAAAAAAAAAATTATGCAATTCAGTGTGTCCTGCAATCTTAGCTTTCCTGCTATGGTACGGAATTAGCAGCAAAACAACAGCAATGATCGCCTGATGCTGGCAGCAATTACAGCCATCTAAGTGAGATGCTTATCAGTGACTGAAGCTTTTAGAGCTCTCCCTATGTACAGTTGTAAGTGACTTGCTCTTGTGCTGCAGTCATTTTAATTAAAGTGTATGGAGTTTGCCGGGAGTAATTGCCCTGTGCAGGAAGAGGTGGCAGAAGGGCCCACATGGCTCCTGCCTCCTCCCCCAGCCCGGCCGGGCACAGAGACCCCCAGCAGACCTGCCCCCATCCCTGTCCCCACGCCTGGGCTCTGGGCAGCACACTGTGGCTGCTCCCAGCACGCCATGAGCTCTGCTCTCCGCTTCTGCCACTGCATCAGGACTGGGCTGTCCCCAAATCCCTGTGGCAGCTCTCCTGTGTGGGCTGCTGGGGACCAGGAAGGCAGCACCAGGAGTGGAGCTGGGAATTGTGGCCATGTGGGGAAATGAGCTGCAGTCCCTCACCCCAATCATGCAGCCCTGAGCTGCAGGGCCACCACGACCCTCTCCTGGGTGTCCATGGCTTGGCACAGTCACACTGTCAGCTTCCCATTGGATGCCATCAGTCTAACGTAGGGCCAAAATGGGTTTTGCCACAGCTACAAACATTCAGATGGTTTTCCACTCCAACACAGGCAGACACAGGCAGAACAACACAACCACGGGACAGCTGTGTCCCCTTCCCCTGCTGCAGGAATGCACAGGAGTCAGACCAGCTCAGACAAATCTCCAGACCCACACACTGCCCACCTGCTGCACGCCCAGAGAGGGAAACAGAGACTTTTAAACTACCATCAGAGAGAAAAGTCTTTGATGCCATGAAAGACATCAGCAAGAAGCTGACTTTCAGCAAGCGCTCTCATTCCCAACACTCCCAGCACCCTTTACAATTACTGTTCTCCTCCCAAGGCGTATCTGAACACTTGTTTTGTATATAAATTGTTGCACTACCATAAATTAAAAAAAAAGCCAAATATAAAATGTAACTGCAGCAACAGAGACGATTTATCAGTCATTTGCAGAACACTTCTCCTCCTGAAGGATCCCAGAAGGCTTTATAAATTCACACCATAGCCACGTAGCCTGCTTCCTCTGCTAAAATGTACTCAATTTTGGAGGTAAAAAGAGGCTCTGTAAGATTATACTCTTATAGTAAGAGCCAGTAAAGAACTCTTTAAGGAGTCTATTCTCCTGAGAGAGAACACGTCTGATATTAAGTGCATTTTGCTGAACACTCCGTATTTAGGGCTGTTGGGCATATACCAGGTGTTGGGATTGTTTGGAGTGAAAGGCACCATAATAACACAACACACACGGTGGCACGCCGGCTGCTGAGCACTGCAAATCACCCCATTTACCAAGGAGGTGAGGAATATGTTTTTGCTTTCTTAAAACTGAAAAGCAGACACTGATACCTAAAACCGCCTCGGGCACACAGAGAGAGTCCAGCAGCCAAAGTGTCTCTGGCCAAATTCTTAATTACACCAAATGACACCAACTGAGGGTTCGGCCAAAAACTGCTCAGATAGAAACTGGAGCCAAGCATCTGTAGCCAGCGTCTGCCGCAAGGCCCCATCAGTTAAATTCAGCTCACAAAGCCACCTTCCACCAGCACCCCTACGTGCACCACATGCACACCGGTTTCCTCTCACACACCCACAAACGCAGCCTGTCCCACCTGGTTTTCTTCCCAAGTTAGGTGACAGTCAATAAAAATTATCATGAATTTGATCAAATGCCTGAGTGCCCCTTCCTAAGGCCCATGCCCGCCCTGTTCAGCCAGCAGCAGAACGCTCCGCTGCCCCGCACGTACCCAGCCGCTCCGCCAGCCGCATGTAGACGGGGTCCACTCGCCGCATCGTCTTCACCAGGTCCTTCCTGCGGAACTTGATTTCCACCGTCCCCTCTGGCTCCAGGATTCCTCCTCTGATCGGTGATGGGCAAAGAGAAAAGAAAGGCAAGTTCAGGTCATCGGACAAGGGGAAAGACAAAACGGGATGGTTTGATGTTGTCTGGAGAGTGTGTAGAATGATGCAGAGAAGGGAGGAGGGAGACAAAACAAAGAGAGAACGAATCTCAGCTGTGGTTTACCCAATGCCATGCACACGAGTGCCCACCCAGCAGCACAGAGCGCATCCCGGCACCAGCACTGCTCCTGGCAGCCTCTGTCAGCTGCGACCTGAAAGCTTCTCCGAAAGGTAAAGCCTTGTGACACATCAATTAACCAAGCACGTTCATTAGAGGAGGAGAAGAAGGTCAGTGCTGAGGTGGTGGAGCAGCACTGGCAAAGGGAATTATCACAAACGCACTGCAGTGTGTAGGGACAGGACGGCAGCGCTCCCAGAATGATCTTTTTGGCTACAGGAGCTGAGGGCAGCAGAGCCCTGCTCAGCACTGCCAGCAAGCAGGCTGTGTGCCCAGAACCTGCCTGCTGCTCCTGATGGCTGCAGGCGCCATCCCCAGTAACTGTGTGCCTGTCCTCCTGGCTCACCCCATCCTGCCCGCTGCAGACAGACCAAGCAGGGCTGGCTTCTTCCTCTGCCTGACTGAGCATCACTATATTTTAGAGATTCTCATTTAAAAGTGTTCTTCCAAGAGCCTGTCGCTCCACATGCTGTAATGAGGACTTCACTTTTGCAAGCAAGTTGTAGTTTATGAAATGAGCGCAGTGACCCAGAGAGGTGGCAGCGCCCCATCCCTGCGGATGCCCAAGGTGAGGGGATGGGGCTCTGAGCACCACTCTGGCTGTGGCTGTGCCTTTAGTGGTCCCTTCCAACTCAAACGGTTCTATGACCCCATGCTCCCATCGGAAGGACAACACCAGGGGATGCTGCAGTGCACACCGACAGCTCCGTGCCCGGCACAGAGGCTCTGAGCAGCCCTACCTGCTCTCACGGTCCGCGTACATCTCCATGTGCCGGGGGTTGATGGTGGGGTCGATGACGGCCCAGGAGCCGCCCCTGAGCTCTGCCTGCGGTGGGATGTAGATGAGCACAGGCTGCCGGTACTCCCGCAGGCCGTCCACGATGTAGGCACCAAACTTCAGCACCTGGTCGTACATGTCTGCAGGAAAAGGACACAGCGTCAGGCACAGTGGGTCAAACTGGAGAGAGGAATACAAGCGCCCAGTTTTGGTCAGCCCTCCTCCCCCTGCCGTGCTACAGCTCCAGCGGTGCTGCTGGCCCAGGGCAGGGTGCCCAGGAAGGAGGTGCACATCTATAGACCCTTATATGTCCTTTTAAAAAGCAGTGAGAGCTGAGGGTTCAGACGTGGAATAGCTCTCCTCCCCTCTTCTGGCTTTACAATCTATCCAAGACACTGCTGAAATTCTGAAGAACTCCACTGTGTACAGACAAAGCATGGGAAGTATCTGCCCCAAAGGTGATTTACATAAAAGAGAAAAGAATGAAGGCAATGAGAATTTATATGAGATGATACTGCTTGTAATGGATGTAGTTTGTAATGGAAACAGGCAGCCTCGAATACATATATTTTGTTACACATAATTATATTTGGAAGCATCGAATCAGATGTATAAGAAATGAGAAACACTTATCAGGATTATCTGGTCCGTCTCTTTGTCCACACAGGACCCCATCCTCTGCTTCTTTCCAGTGCTTCTTAAAGCCTCCATTTAGAAATCCCAAACCACCAACTCTCATTCTTCAGGGCCATTTCCACAGCATTCAGCCAAGTTCTCCTTCCTTCCCCATCTCAATTCATTTCCCATTGTTCCTTCTTGCATCACCCCACACTCCATCCACACCTGCAGTCCCAGTCATGAACAGATCGGCGCTGACATGCACCTGAAATCCTCACATCCTTTGAGAAAGCCACTGCTGGGGTAGGACAGACTCCAGCCCCAGTCTGCACATCACAGCCCCTGGTTAATGGGGAGCATCAGCACACAGTTATGCCCCAACTCTTTGGGCAATACTCACACAGTAGGAGTGCATACAAAAAGTGTAGGTACGTATGTACTGGTACCACAGGCTCTGCTGTGCTCTGCCCAGCTCACTTGCTGCTCGCAGTCCAAACACCCAAAAGAAGGAATTTCCTAACATTTAAGAGAAGCCAAATGCCAATGAGGAGGAGGATGATCTACTTCCATTAGTTGTGACTGACTCTGAATTCCAGCAGAGCAGCAGGCCTGGAACCAAACAGAGCTCCAACCTTTCCTGAGCAAAGAAAAAGACCTCAAAAGGGGTGACAAATTTATTACTAATTACACAATTATTTTATTATGTAGCACTAGTAATAAACCACTTGAAGTACTTTCAGCTAATTCTAGTGTTAAGAAAATAATTGCTCGATTCAAATTATTTTAACTGAATTAATTCTTTACTAGACATTTTTTACTAGAGCTACATAATAAAATAATTATGTAATTAGCAATCCATTTGTCACTCCTGCCAAGGGTATGTATTTTACTCAGGTTAAGTCCTGGAAGGGAGGCATCCCTTGTGAGAGGACGTGGGGTGCAGCAGAGGCAGCGCTCCTGCAGCCACGGCTCCCCACGCACACGGCTGCTCCCCTGGGGATCCTGCACTGCACTGCTGCTCTTCCCTGCTGGGTCCCAGCACGCCGTGCCTCAGGTTTTCTATATGGATTTTCACGAACTTCAGGTTTCTCTTGCACGCTTACAACTTCCACCAAGGCCATTTTCCACCTTCCCAGATGCCCCTTCCTGCCTTCAGACAGGCTACAAACTCCTAGCTGCTAACACTAGGATTAGCAAAATCAAAATTAAACGTGAGATTTCTGAGCCAAATTTCAGCCCTGCACTCATTTAAAGCCGAGCAAAGCAGCAACGCTGCAGCAGTCCTCCAGGAAGAGCAGTGCTTGTAGTTCAGCAGGGCAGAGTGCTCACAGCACACCTCCCCACGCCGTGCCTGCGGCGCACCGACCCTTCCCTGCGTGTGCAGGGGCAGTGCTGGGAGGCAGCAGGCAGCTTTGTGCATTTGGGGCCGCGTGCCCTGAACCTCTGGAGCTGGAACGGATCTCATCAGCTTGGCTGGATTAGCAGATAGGACCCGAAGGTAAACACCGGGCGCACGTTGGCTGCAGACACATAATGAACCTCGTAAACCCATTACATGCAGCAGCACCGCCGTTCAGCACCAGGTAATCAGAGATTTAAAACAGCCCTTTCCTTCCGCTTAGATTTTTTTTTATTGTTATTTATAACCTGTCCCAGGGAAAAATAATAAGTGAAACATGAAAACCCAACTGCGAGTGACCCTGTAGCACAAGCAGCACTGCCGTTAATGTCGCGGGGATTTGCATGCTATCAAACTATTCATGCCGAGTCCAAGACCCCGGTGCTAATTTCCAGTAAATTTCATGCTTGATGTCTCCCCGTTGTGGGTCACTGCCGGTTCGCCTAAATAAACCACTTCCAAATGGCTCCTCCATCTAAATATTCAAGCCAGTTTTTATAATTTAATTTTGCATTATGCTGAGGAGCCTCCTGGCCAGGCAGCGCTCGCTGGGGAAGCGCCGGCGCATTGTGAGATGCCTCCATTTCTGTGCTTCCTTTATTTATTTTACTGCCCGAATCGGACCTCCTAGGCCGACGAGTAAAGGGGCTGGGCTTTTTTCCTTTGCTTGCCTTTTTTTTTTTTTCTCCCTCTGCTAATGTCAATTTTCAGCATAGCAAGAGCTGTCTCTAATCTTTTCCTACTCATTACACACAATTTTGGAGTCATTTTACCCACAGTGCAGCCGGCTCCTGGCAGTGTGTTTGTGTGCACTGAGGGGTGGCATAATTGTTTATTTTCCCTCCCTGCATAATCCCCAGGCAGCGCTGAAACCAACACTGCCAACACGGCCCCGAGGAGCACAGCGAGCATCAGCAGGGAGCAGGGCTGCCACCGCCCCAGCAAAGGCCAAGCAGAGCAGCCTGGCACAGCGCACCCTGCGGCAGCTCTGTGTCTCCGTGCTCTGCCAGGAGCTGCTGTGCAGGTCTCTGGGGATGCGCAGTGCAGCACTGGCATCTTCCCACAAATGAACACCTTCTTTCCCACCCCGGGCCTCCGGTTCCAGCTCAGAAGCCACCCAGTTTCTGAGGAACACTCACACTGTCACCACGGCAGCCCTCCCCAGTGAGAACTCCTGCTGTTAGCAGACCTGTAATGTTCCTTCTGTGTGCAAAGTGCTGCATGCGGGTAAAGGGCCGTAATCCTTCACTTATTTAAATTTTATGGTATCAATCTCACGTTCCTGGCACTTCACAGAATTTCAAGCAGCACTATGTGATACAGAACTCTAACTGCCAGTACATTAACTCAGCAGTTTTATAACTGCGTGAGCAGGCACTGCCACCAAAAGGACTGCCCAGGACGGGGAGCCCATCCCTAGACACACAGTGCTACCAGTGCGAGAAACCATCAGCAGGACAGTGCTTCCACTTGCTACTATGTGCCCTTCCATTACCCAGTACTGCTGGCTTACCCAGCCCCAGTTCTAAACCGAGGCAGAAGGATATAAAGCAGAAGAGGTTTCCTGAGATTACTGCTTAATTAGCCCAGGCTGGCAGCTGTAAATTTGGTTAGCAACTAGCCCACAGTTACAGACCAATCACCTGTTCTCACTGCAGCTGGTCTGGTCAGGTCCTGTAACCCTCCATGAGGGTACGTATAAAAATACAACAGTGTTGTTACGCTGAAAATAACCTGATTTCAGATTTGCACCTGGCACATTTGGTGTTATTCCCACACTGGCTGTTAAAGACAAGAGCCAAGAAGGAAGGAAAGGAACAAAACGGCCCAACAGGACAACACCATCAGGGTACAGAAGTGGCCATTACCTTTCATGCCACCAGAGAAGCCTCTCCAGTTGGCAAAGACCATCAGAGGCAGCCCCTCCCTGTTGAAGTCGTTGATGGCCTGGGCTGTCTTATAGGCAGAATCAGGGAACCACACCTGACCAGCCTGCTGGATTATCTGTGGGAATGAGAAAGATGAGCAAACCCTGTTACCTTAGCAGTCAGCACAAAAAAAAAAACAAAACACACAGAAACAGTTGCAGCACGAATTGCAATGTGGAACCATCAGTGCAGAGCGGAGCACACAACATGCACAGGATCTGCTTGTCCACAGAAAAACTGGGACAATCCTTCTGTCACCAGCATCAAAAGGAGTGATGTTGCTGATTTCCCCATGGGGAGATGGCACAGGAAGCCCGATGCTGAGACTGCTGTAACAATGTGAAGGAGAAAGAAAAGCACATGCAAAGGAGAAGATGCAGAAGACATGATGTAGGGCCACAGCTGTGAAATCAGGCAGGAGAAAAGCAAAATGTCAAAACAGCAAGAGTATGAAACACTACAATCACAGCCAGGGAACAAGGAAACCATGTTTCCAATGCCCCACTCCCCATATCTCAGCCCACAGCAGAACTACTGGGGAATGCAGAGCAAACAGCCAACACAACCATCAGCTCCCAGCCAAGGACTGGCTCTACTTTGTGTCCCGTATTTGAAAGAAAAAAAATCCCACCGAAACAAATGCTCTTTTCTTAGAGACATTTGCAGAGGACAACCACACACACTCAGCTCACCTTGGCCTCTGAGTCCAGGTTTGCAGGATCAGCAGGGATGCTCAGCTCCACTGTTCTGGTTTCTACGGCAACTACTCCTACAGGTATTCCTCCTAGCCTGAAAGGAGGTGAGACACATCAAAACCGTATTTTCTCTGTTACACAACTAGACAATTTTTCCAATTCACATCAAAATACTCAGAAGAGACAAATAATGCATGCAAATGGAGGAAGAGGAGGCCGCGCTGCGGCCTTTTTGAAGAGTTTAGGCGTGCAGCCGGATAATTTCAGAGCTGAATTTAGGGCTTTCACAGCAAAACCCAGTTCTAAAAACTGCCACGTGCCTCATTGAGAACGAAACAGAAGAGAACTGGCTGCACCTGTGCTGCTGCTACGACCCCCTCTTGCTGGCGGTGGTGCACAGAGGTTTGGGGCTGCCTGCCTCCATCCCAGGCTGCTCCTGCAGCCACCCGAGGAGGGACAGCACGGCCAATGGGCACCAGGGGGCTGAGAACATTCCCATTCACTATGATTAAGAGTCTGCCCAGATACCCGTAATTGCAGAAGCCGTCTTAAATCGGTAACTTATAACTTCTATATTAGGGCCCATGTGACCTAATAAAGAACATCTTTATCCAAGTATTACAGTTATTTATTGAACTTGAAAACAGCTCAAAACAACTTCTGTTTTCCATTATACTTCATATAAATTTTATCAGGCTAGCACATGAAGATGCTACATCTTGTTTTATAGTGTGTCCCTGGACAAGTTGCCATAGAATAATAAAAGACAATTTACAGCCAACAGCACACATATTCCAAACATACATACAAAAGATGAGTTTTGGCAGCACTTATAGTAACAATCCCAGAAGAATATATTTGTATTTGTTTTTTCAAAGTGCCGCTGCTTTCAAAAGAAGTCGGTTTCATTTGTGTTATATAGATGTGTGCACGGGAGAGCCCAGAGCAACTCGGAATTTGTCAGAAGGAATTGCAAGAGGGGCTGAGAACCGACCTGGACAGAGAGCTTCCAGCTTTGCCAAACCACCGGTTATTTCTTTTCCCTGCAATACTGCTCAATCTAAAAGCCTTTCCAAGATTACAGTATGTCGTGAGATAAAACTTTAGTGTGTTACAGATGGCAAATAAAAATAGTGAAGTGTATCAAAAGGTCACAGGACAACCCGGGGTTACGTGCTGCAGTTAGGAGTGGAGTCTGCAGGTATTTTAAGGTCTTTTCGAAGATGTATGAAGATCAGACAATGTTCTGAGTGGAATGGAATCCCTGGGACCAGCAGAGGTCACAGACACAGAGAGATGGCAGGGCTGAGCTGAACTGCTCAGAGCCCTTTGGTTGGGCAGGAGCAGCCCACGTTCCGATATGGGATCGAAGGAAAAAGGCCTCCTCCTGATCACATTCTGCTCTAGGAGAGTCCTCAGGAAATCCCAATCCCATTTTGCCACACCTCTCTGCAGCACAGAGGAAACCCGAGATCATCAGGTGCTGCACTGGAAAATGCTGCAAGCAAAATTCCATGCAAGTCTCGATGTTAAGCTCTTCTGTCTCTTGTAATTTATTCCAGTTTTAGATGAACTTCTCTTGCAAGGCAAGTGTGACCTCAGAGCACTAAGCTGTGCACCCTTCCTTTGGCCAACAGCTGCAGGAAGGCCTCGCTGTGACCACGTTCCCAGAGAAGCAGGTTTTGTCTTCCATCGTTTTTAACAACCTCTCTCTCTTTTTGGCTTTTGTGCATGTCACCTCCAAGCAAAACAGGAGCAATGATCAGTGCATGCTCCATTCGTGTGGTAAAAAAGTATCCTATTCAAGTAATGACTTATTCTTACTATCAACTTTGAAATGAGGTTTCAGAAAAAAAGTAACGCCTGATGAAAACATGATTTCCACAGATGTCTAAAAAGTCTCTCAGCATTTACCTTGCTCTGCCAACCACAACTGTCTGTGCCCAGGGCTGCATGATCTCCAGGAATGAGCCATTGTCGAAGAAACCACTCTGCCACTGTCCTTTCTGACCTGAAAGGAAGGGGAAAAATGGAGACCTCAGAGGTGGGAGGAGAAACGGGAAGTCAGCACACAGAAGGAGCAACAGAAACTTGCTTAAAAATGCCAACTGGAGAACGTGGTGCTGCCTTTTGATGTATTTATTTATTTAATTTTAAACAGATTATCATACAAGGGAACATTAGACAGCTGAGCATTTGTCTGCCTTCAGCCATCATGTCTTATTTCATTTGCCAGCCTGCATAAAAACAGTCATTTATCAGCAAAAGCATCATTTATTGTTAAACGATGGGGTTCAGATAGCAGAGGGACTTTGCATGCTTTTAAATAAATAACTTTTTTTTTCGAGATAGGACAAACATTTGTCAAAAGGCAGCAAAGTCATTAAAGATGTTTTTCAAAATGCCTGTTTCTATTTTAAAACTCAGCTCAGTTTTCTCTTGCTTCTGCCTGATCTCTCCTGCAAAGAAATGCAAAAAGTTCCGTAATGCTGGAAAATGAGATGGCACATCTGAGAGCTTCACACATTCCTTGGGAAAACCTGAAATGAAGTGCTGCATATTGAAAGCCTGCTCGCTCTGCACAGATACCAGCTGCATCCCATAAACTGAAGCATGCTTTAGCTCCTAAAATGCTTTAGCTCACCATGCACTATCAGATCAATTCATTGGCCCAGAGGAGGCAGTGACTTCCCAGTGCCTCGAGGAAATCAAACCCCTGAAGAGCACAATGCTGCCAAGCACTGCCCACCCAACAGGTACAAAACTTGCTCTGTGGCACTCTGCTCTGCTCTGAGGCTTCATGAAGCTTCTGCCAAAAAAAAAAAAAGCCAACAAAAAAAACCTCCCAGCTTTACCTCTTGGCACAGAGCTTCTGAGGAATACTTTAATCTGAACAAGCACCTTTGCTTCTGCAAACCCAAGTCCAAAACCAATTAAAAGTGGAGATCCAAGCAAGCTAACCTCTGCTGACTTAAACAGGATGGAGAGTGTTTTATCAAGACCAAACTTGTAATTACTGTGTTCTACATTCCCTGCCTCTGTGGCCCCACTGTAAAATGTGACCATCCATTTCAAAATTATCTCTTTATCGTGAGCCCAAAGCTGATCGTTTAGATTCTGGCCTCGTGTCGGGCGTCAGTTTGAAGAATATCACGGCAATATCTCCTCTAATAAATGGCTTTAACTTTTCACCTAGGAGATATCTGCTTTAACTTATCACAGGGAATCATCTGCTTTCCTTAACGCTTCCACTAAATTAAAATCTGAAGTCACTCGATTTGGAAGGCAGCGCTTGCTGCGCTCAGACAGCTGGATGAATTACTTGAGAGATGATGAAAAAATATTATCCAAAAACAGAAAACTTAGTTTATCACAAATCTCATTTTAGCCTCCCAAACTCGTTAATAACAGCAGGCATAATGGTCACCCAGTTTGCAGCTGGTTCACACGCAGGCTGCACAACCCCAAGTGCAAGCGTGGGGGTTCAGTGGTTGGCAGTGCCTGCAGTATATTTACTCTCCAGGACCTGCAGGAATGCTGTGCATTTCCTCGAGTATGAAGACTTTTGTATTTGCACTTTCCTCTGAACTGCAAAAAGGCCTATGAAAGTAACTATTACTTGTAAGTGTTCCCAGGCACTCAGAATTTATATGCTATTTTTGTATATTGCATCTAAATCCCTTAGAACTAATCATTTCATAAGCTCTGAAATGTACTTGGGCACAGGCCTTGGACTTCTCTTCCCATTCCAGCCAGCCTGATTCTTTTTAACTACCCACGTTCACAGGGTGCCTGGCTGGGGGCTGGAGGCAGAATGGAATGCTTCAAGTCTGGAAGCAGATGCAGAGATCTCCAAACAGAACAGATTCAGGCTTCAGAATGCACCTGGCTTCACTCAAGTCCTAAAGTACCACAGAAAAAAGATCCAGATTGACAGGGTGAGCACACAGGGCCTCCTGCCCCATTTGCTAACCAGACCTTCATTCTTTAGTCTTTGTAATTCTAATTATGCAACAGGCATAGAACTCACCAGAGTAATAATAATTTGATGCTGACAAAGCAGAAACAGATGTGGAGCTTTGAGTGTCTTGAAGCAAGACACAACACAGCACGTCCTGACCACCAAAGATCTACGTACTTGGATTTGGGCGTCCAGCCAGCATCCAGCGAGGATCATAGGGAGTCTTGGTAGGAACAAAGTCTATGGTTCTGTCTATAGGATCCTTGACCTTGAGGATAGGAACAGGGCTGTATACGCTCTAAGGAAAAAAGAAAAATATTTCAGGTAGTAATTTTACATAGTCTTGCACCAAAAACCAAATCTAAAGCACCTGGTCAGAGTCTGCTTTCCACCACATGGTACAACCCTGTAACGTGGGATCTCAGAGCCTTGGTACGAGTCTCAAGAAGCGCTCCAAATACTCTCAAAACCCTCCTTTCAGCATCATCTGATATACACTCTGCTATACTTGTTCCTGAGCTTCAGGCACTGACAGCATTTGCAAGGCATTGCAATTTAATTTCTAAAGGTGACCAGGCCATCAGACTCATTCATGCAGTCTTTCCTGAAAGAAGGTGACCTGCATGTTCTTACCGCTGCCTTCCTGGCTGCAGAGCAGCTAACACACATACATCAGCTGCTTCAAATTACTGCCTCAGAGAAGAACTTCTAGAGTCTTTCCAGGAAAAGACAACCCACTGCTGACATCAGGTCCTGCCACCCAGAGTACTCGAGATAGGACTCCAGGACGGGATGTGATGTGGAAGTACACCCAGCAGAGCCGGGCTGCCCCCATCCCAGCTTTGCAGGTCAGAAGCTGCTCTGTGGAGTTCAGTACCACAACGCCCAACTGCTTCAATCATGAGTCTAAATCATTTTGCTACAAACACAGGATAAGACAAAGCATTCAAAGAGCCTGCCCTCATCCCCAAAGCCCTGTGAACAAAGAGGACATGGAGTGACATGCCACACTCCTGCAGGGCCAGGAATTACCTTGGGCATGTAGGAAAGCCACAGCAGAATAGTGTAGACTCCTTCAAAATCGTCGCACACGGTGCCGTGGGTCACCCCGTTGTTGTGCATGATCTGGATCCCGCCCAGCTGGTTGTTGGAGGTGTACACCTCCCGACCAAGCACCTGGAAAGGAAAAACAGGGAAGCCATCAGGGGATGGGATGCAGACTGCAGGTGCAGACTGAGGAGATGCGTACAGCAAGTCACGCTCACTTCAGCAGCAAAGAATGGAGCGATGGCTCCCAACTGACCTTCCTGCACATCGCTGAGATCTGCAGGTATGGATTTCCAAGGGAAACTGCACTCGTGGAAAGCTGAGGCAGCCGTCCCACCTGCCCTTTCTGAGCAGCTGAGACATGAACAGGTCTCCTGAGCACTGACCCGGGTGCAGCGAAACCCTTAACTGGGCAGAAAAGCCACGTGCTGCAGAAGGCACAGCAAAGACAAAACCCCAGCTCTGAGAGGTTGGGAGATCAGATGAGTGCTGCGTCTGACTCTCCTGGCTCCATCGCCAGCCTCAGCCCGGGCTCTGCAGCTCTTTTCTCATTCCCCTGCTGTCTCTTTCCATTTGCCCTCTTGCTGACTGATACACTGATCTCTCGGTCACTCGGCTTTCTGCTCCACTGAGTCCATATTACTAATAACACCTCTGCCACGGCCAGTTTACCTCATGAAGGCAGGAGCACATCATTACAAAATAAACTCATAACTTTGACATTCTAGCAAATATATGCCGTTTGTTATTTTTATGGGTTGTGTCTTTCTAACAGACAGAGGGCATTACATACCTGCTTCATTTAGATCTTAAAACCCCCTCAGATGCAGGCAGACAACTCGTCCTCCCCCAGCAACCCACCAGCACAGCTCCATTCAGGATGAGGACCCCCGGCGTGGAGCAGCCCGAGCCCAGGCAGGGCAGCACCAAGGATGGGGTGCTCAGCTCTGACTGCTTCCAAGGGCAGAACAGCCAATGTCCTGCCAGGAGAGCTGCAGGGACACAGAGGTGCTGCACTCCTCAGGATCCGATCCTTTGGGCAGAGAGCAGAGGTGTCGAAGGGGTGGGAGAACAGAAGCTCTGCTCTGACCATAAGCTGCCTGCATGAGCAGTGCTCTTCCTGCACATACCGGTTCATCGAGGCTGGGTGCCCTGTGCCCGCCACTGCCTAACTGCAAAGGTGCAACACCACCATCTGCCAACTCCAAAGGAAAGCACGGATCTCGGGATGCCAGTCACCAGCCGAGCTAAATGCCTTCCGCAGAGGAAAATAAAAATAAAGAGGATTTAAGCTGCCCACCTATGAACTAATGCAAACGTATGCACATGCAAAATGGGCCTCTGCTGCTGCTTATCTGGAGACCGCGCCAACAGCGCAGGTTTACTGCTGCTGACAGGCAGTGAAAGCAGCCTAATATACCTCCTGCTCGTGGCCCTAAATCCCTTTTTGGAGATGAAGACAGATACGCAGCTCCTTCTCCCGAGTGCTGCAGACATCTCCGTGAAGTGGCAGAGCACTGCGAGGGGCCGCATGAACAGAACCCCCCCGCAGCATTCACCCATCAACGCTTGTCGGCGGCGCAGCCCCGGGCTGCACTGAAGGCTGTGCAGAGGGGTGATGTGCTGCCCCGTGTGTGCTGCTGCAGCTGAGCTGGGAGCAGAGGTCAGGAGGCAGCGAGGGGCCAGCAGTGAGCGCAGTGATATGGGGCTGGAGAAAAATGAACACAAAGGCTCATCCATTCGGCTCCGCTAACCGCCTCATCTCTGACCTCGCAGGACTACATTTTTAAAGGCTGACAAGTAATTCAATCTCCAATTAACAATTTTAAATGGTGCAATGCATATTGCTGTATAAATGTTTCTGCAAGAAAATATCCAAGGGTGAAAGAGAATACGTCTGCTGGAGGAGCCCAGAACTGATGCTTCTGCAATTAACCGATTCAGATATTCCTCAATAAGACACACGGTCAGCGGAGGCATGAGTGGGTTTAGAAATGCTCCAATCAGTTAAATGGAGAATGCCAAACCAAGGAAAGACTGCATGGGATTAAATCCTGCATGGAACACAAGGGCTGAGTGTGCAGAGTGGGTCCCTCCTGGCAGAGGGGTCACTTCTCCAGAGACAAAGATACAGCGACCACAGAGCAGAGATCAGGAAAGGCACAGCGTGAGGGGTGGGAAGGGACAGGATCCAACTCCCACAGCTCTGATATGCATTGCACCTGAATTATCAGTAATGCTTAACCTCTGATCTTTCACCTTATATGATGGGAAGCCAGACAAAGAAGAACATCCATGAACAGCAAGGCACTGGACAGTAAACTTCTGGCTCCAAACTAAAATTCCATCCACTCACTCTTCTGCCCACCCTCCTCTGACACGCTATCAGTAACGAGGAATGGTCCCACATCGGTTCATTCCGAGGTTTCCCCGTACTGCACTGCAGCATTCTGGTGCCTGGCACTTGGGATAACATCTCCAGTTTCCCATTCATTGCAGCTGCTGACTCCTCTGTGCCTCCATCTCCACAAAAAGATGAGGACATCAGTCAAGTGCTCCAAAGGAGATGGGAGATCTAGAACTGCACGTGTTAAAGCTCAGCCCGTGGCTGTAAGAACACACACCACCTTCCAGACAATGCAACCCCATGTTTAGAAAATACCCCAGCAGAATTGCCACCATCTGTTCAGTTCCACAGAAGCCTTCCTAGGAGGACATCACATCTCTTTCCACTATACAGGATCTTTTGGGCAGTACAAAGGAGAGCAGGCTTCTAGCAGCCCTTTCAACCTTCAGAAGGCCCTTCCCACCAGCCCACAGCCATGCCATGTGCACGCTGATCTTTTCTAGCACTCCAACCTGTGCTGACCAGCAGCTCTCCCTGCACTTCTTTGCTGAAGCTGAGCTGCTGGAGCTGAGACATTCACTGCAGAGCTGCTCCGGCTGGAAACTTGATTGGCTCAAATGTTTCATCAAAGATGAAAGATGTGAAAAAATGACAGCAGAGGGCTTGAATGGGAATCATCATGTAACATAAGTGCTGTTATTATTCAGAGCATATCATGTGTTTATATCAAATATAAGTGCCAGATTTTTATCCAAATAATTTCAATAATTGCAATTCCCATCCCACAATTTATATTATCTGCCAGAAACCTGAAGCAGAAAGGCACATGCACATACTATAAATAGCCTATTTTTCATAAACAGGCAGAAATGATCAGAACGAATGTCTCATCAGAAAACACAATGTAGGAACTTAAAACCTGGCTGCTATTACGTGCAGTCAAGCCTCAACAGATCTTACGGCGTTCATTTCCATCCCTCAGCTCTTCCTCCACACGTATCATGTCATTAGAGGGCAAAAGAGAAGCAACCCCAGGCAGAGCAGTGGGCTGGGGGAGATGCTCAGGAGCGGGTGCTCTTCTTGCATCTCTAATCTACCGGCGTGTGCAGTTCCTGCACTCTTAATTTACGAGCGTTCGGTGGGGGACCCTTCTGACTTGGGAACATATTGGCTCGGTCTAATGCTTGGAGATTATTAAAGTCAGAGCTATACTCCACTATCAAGTCTACAGATCTTTTATTTAGAAGATATGGTGCTCTAAATGCACAAAGAGCTCCCTGTCACCTTCACATTAAAGCCCCTAGTGCCTGGTAAATGGAATTATATAGCTGTCATCTCCTTTCCCCAAAGTTTTAAGAGTACAATGGGCTCATTTTTTCACACTCCATCCCGGCTTCAGAACTAAGAGACCTACTTTGTATTGATTTAAAGTCTCAGAAATAAATAAACCTGCTTCACCAATGTGATTCACAAGAAATTCATGATACACTATTGCATGATATATTTCAAGCTGTGGCTCCAGCTCTTTTTTTCCTTTGGTGAGTGATGGGGGAGGTGGGAGGCAGGGGGAGGGGGGGGAAGCTGACAGCCTGATGGTTATTGGAGATGGCTCCTGACTGCAAATCCAGAGCAGGGCCTGCCGGTGGAGGCCTCTCCTTGCTTTAATTTGGGGAGTTCAGAGGGGGAAGGGGAAGAAGCAATTGCATGGGAGGCAGCAGGGGAAGAGGCATCCAGATGGACACTGCTGCTGCAGCTGGCCTTGCCGTGGTGCCTTCTGCCTGATGATCCCAAAGCACCTGGCTAACGCAGATGGCAACACGGAACGTTTCTGGGAGGAAATCACCTCCTTCCTGTAAGAATTTATGGGGGCTTTGGAACATCTCCTCTTCTGCACTGCACAATTTGCAATCCCAAGATGTGGCCAATCAGACAGGATCATGACTGCTTCTGACATCTTCGGTGTAGGACATTAGAAATAAAAGTTAATCCAAAATGAAAACTCAGTTGGAACAGAAGAGCTTTTTGTTTGACAAAATGAAAAAATTCTGAACAAGGAATTCATCAAAATCAGTACCTTTTCCTGAAGAGTTCCCATTCCATTGAATTGGCATTTTCAAATGAAAAATGCCTTGTCAAAAAATTCCTGCCCAGCTCTCCTTTTGCAGTGTAGGGAGACGGCATGTTCTGCTCAAGGTCACTCCAGCAGTCAGTGGTAAATCACAAGGACTCAATACACTTTGCAAACTAAAATTACAGCCCCCTGTTCTACATGGTGCAAACACCCATAAATCCCTTCTGTCCCAGCTAGGGGTTCCCTACTCTCGACAACAGCCCTATAAACAGCATTAAAAATGGTCTCCATGATACTTAGTGATCTTGCTTTTGGTCATTCCTTTGGCCACCTTCTAAGCCCCAACAGAACCCTCTTGTTCAGAAACCAACCCAGGGGCAGCTCCAGCACAGGACAATGAAACTTTGTTCACTCTGTATCATGGTTTTGGGTTTAACCGTGAGACTTTTCCAGAGCAGCTCTTAAAAGTTCTCACTCAACCATCCAGAATGGCAGAAAATGCATCTCCAATTCACAGCTGAGAAAAGCCATAGGCCATCATCCTGACACGCTCCCAGGGACGCCCCCAGAGATGGGAGGGCAGGACCAGCTATTCTGGGACACATCTGAAAAATGTCTCCTTCCATTCAGCTCCAGTGGGATGTCAGGTGGCAGAGCACTGCACCGAAACGCACCTTAAAGGGTCACCAGGAACTGGGATGTAATTCCTGC